GGCGGCATCGGGGGTCAGTGCCAGCAGCAGGCTGAGCGGTTGCCGACACGACAAGTCGGCAGAGGACTTCTAACTCAGCTTCCGCAGATCGGCGCGTCGGTCCTGTGCGCCAAAAACTCTCCCGAATGCGGTCGCCATTGGCAACTTGCTGCAGCAAGGTTTCAATGGTGGCCCAAAGGCCGGCAACCTCGTCGCGGAGATCCTGCATCTCCTGATTAGGATGCTGGGAGGGGCTGGCTCAGCCCGGATCTCAACTTTGGGGGAAGTAGCTGCTCCTGGTTGGCTGCCGGAGCAACAAAAGCAGCTGGGCTGATATTCTATTTAGTTATGAGTGACTGGTAAAAATGAGATGTACCAGGTGGTGGCGAGCAATGGCGCCCGAGATTGGGAGCGTGTGCGCCGTGCCATCACCGACTTCGGCTTCATTTTCGGCGCCTCGGAGCCCTTGCTTCCGCATCGAATCTTCAGGCGGCTGCAAGCGCACCAACGCGCAACTTTCTGCCGTGGTCCTTGTGATAGGCCTGTCGGCAAATCAGATCCCTTGCGACGCATTGCCGAGCGGGAGCCCAAACTTCCTGCCGTCGTATTGGCGAACTCATCCTCCATGGAGATCTGGACCTGAAGTCATCTTTGGGATGTCAGTTTCAAAGAAGCAATGCAAAAGTATGGTTACTTACCGGCTTGGCAACAGGTGCGGCGGTATCTTCTCGGCGGCTCCACAGCGTCTCCTCATCGCCATCATCTTCCGTTTTCTTCGGTGTCCACTTCGACATAGGCACGGCGTGCCTTTTTATTGGTCTGGGCAGGATGTCAGATAAGAGGTACTACAATCAGTAATAAGCTTACTGTGATAACGGACTCGCCTGGTTCCTCTTTCAAGTTCATCGTCACTGGTAATGATGGCCTTTGACTTCTGCGCTGCCGCTTGGACATGGCTGGGCGGCTGCGGCTCCGAGCACTTGAGGCACGGGGACGTTTCCGCGACTCAATTCCTCACCCGCGTTCCTCAGGCTCCTCCATCGCAGCCGCTTCCTGAGCTGAGATGGCCCGGGCGTGGCGGAGAAGCTGAGGCCGAAGGGCTCCGCGGTAGTTCCTGGTGGAAGGGAACAAAGGGTGAGTTTGATGCGGATATCGTCACCTCGAATGTTTCCCCAAGCGGGTGTGCCGGTGAGACCGGTCCTGGATGCATTCATGTGCTGCTGCAGTTCTGCAGCAGCCGACAAAAATTAGCGGCGAGAGGATGGTAAACACTCCTGCCATGAGACATCATTGCCTGGGTCTGCAAAAGATTAGGTAATGTTAGTGTGTTGAAGCAGAACTTACCAAAGCCCTGCCCATCTCCATCACTATAGTGAGATGTTCAGGATTGCCGGCATCTAATTGCCAAGCTTGGCCCAGAAGGTGCTCAATCTTGTCAGCGGCATCGCTGAAGGCCTTGTTAGCAGGTGGCGATGTTTGCATTCAAGGAGGACATGGTGTTTGTTTAAGTTTGGAATGAGGAACAGCGAAAAGTGGCAAACTATATATCTAACTCCGCTGTGACCACGGGTGGCAGTGGATTAGTTATACATTCATTGTGCGACGGCATTTACCGAACAAGGACCACTGCATCCAAGACGCTCCACAATTCACACATCCACAGCTGTGATACAACGGCACACATTGTTTTGGCCGGATGTTGACTGATCTGGCTAATTAAAGGTCGATCCACTGGTCCACAAGGGACCAAGCTTGGACATCGGTGACACCCGCCGAATGACACAATAAATTCAATCCCCAAAACCACATCATTATGTAATTGAAGTTCCGATTGTGTCATTTTATTTAAAGGCTCTGCCATGACATGTTTGGACTACAATTGCATCATGTCCAAACCTACCATCGCCACTCTCTCGGCAGAATCGATGTCCGATGAAATGGACTTGGACTTGGCCGATATCGCTGCCATATTTGAGTATGCTACCTCCCGCTTATCGGCAATTCAGACTGAGCTAGAGAGTACCCGGCACACCTTGCCAATAAAGACCCACCGGATCATAGGCCAGTACCTGAACTGGGAAGGAGAGGTAAGTATTTGCCTTGTCGGCTGCCCGCTGAGCTAATGAATCTTCAAGTCCTTTACATTGCCTTGGATGTCCTTCTGTGCCGGGCTCTCAATTAGCCCGCCGCTGTCTCGGAACCTCTGGTTCTTTGTCGGTGTGCTATCTATGAAGCAGGCCGGCCTGGTCACCAATTTTGAGGAGATCTACAATGCCTTAATGACCTTGCCGGCAGCGCCGGCTGGACCATGGCAAAAGGGCCGCCTCGCCAGGACTTATTGGACACCCTGGTGGATGAACACAGCCAACATCATAGCTGACGACAACTTTCTCCACACATACCCAAACTGTGTGCAGGTTCAGCAAATCATCGCCGAGCATTTCAAGCAATTGGTAAGGTTCTATCCACACAATTTGAGAAGTTCACTAACACCGGCCTTAGCCTGAGGGGAAAGTTCTAATTACCCCAGCCACATTGACCATCCCAATGTGCACGCCGGTTGCCGAGCAACTGTCCAATATCCACGCCAAGGTGCTTCACAAAGGCCAACTGATCGTGAAAATGCTGGAAGATAAGGTGGTCGAGGCCAAAATGGTGGCGGCCACAATGCTTCGGATGGACACCGCACTGGGGCAGGACATAGTTAAGGCCATCGCTGCCACCAAAAAATTGACAAAGTATTTGAAAAGGAAGGCGGCGCAATGAGCGGTGGGTCAGGGGCGACCGCCATTAGTGTTACCTTGTAATATAGCTGTACATAAATATCCTGACGTCTAATTTACTGCATGTTCCCCACCAATTACACTGACATGTTCCGGCGCCAGATGATTTATCATCACACCGAGGTATTTGAACATAACACATCGGTGTGAATCTCATTTGACTACAATGTGATCAGCTATTCCGCTCCTCACTGATGCTCTTGTCTAAACTTTTGTCGGGTGAAATGCCCATTTAGCCTCCTCCAAGAGACATTCATAGATTTTCCCCTGCCTACCCGCATAAGCCATGTGAGCTTCTTTTTTGGCTTCCTTCACAACGACGCCGAGACGTTTCCATTCCTCCGCCTTGTAACAAAAAAAATTGCAAGTCCAATCCATTTCATGCTGAACAAGTAAAATCTCCTCCGCCCAACAGTCTTTTAGAGCCTTTGCCCGGAGCCAATGTACCCGGTAAACTGGCACATCGGTGAGATCAGGAGAACCGACATGGCGCCGATGGGAATTGCTTACATTCATCCAACCAATCATTACTCTCGGAACCTCCTGCAACATCCAATGACCAAAACCACGGCAGCGTATTATTTCGCTGTCCTCGTGAGTTTGGATTGGCAACGGCGGTACTAACCTTGAGATGCTCCTTGGCTAGGGGCTGATATCGCCATAGTAAAGCATCATCGGCGCCGAGGCTGCAAAGTTGTTTGCGGCACTTCAAATAGATACTGGCTTGGATGCTGACCGCCCTATCAACCGAGTGCACCTGAGCCCAAGCTCAGGTGGCCGTTGCTTGAGATTTGGCAACCCTTACCGTCTTCCGAAAAATGACCACTTTGTCCGCCAAATAAACCCTGATGTTGTGCAAGGCATCATTGGCCTGGCCTTGCCGGAGGATAAGTTCTTGTTTTGCCAAATCATTGATGCCGATAGCAGTACATGTATCCTGCCCCAAATTGGACGGCAGGGGAATGACTGCCTTCTCTGGCTTAAAGACATTTCACTGATCGTCCATTTCTGCATCCGATTCTTCATCGAGGATGAGGAGATCTAGTTCCATGGCATGATCCTCATCATTGCCGGGCCTGTCGCCGAGGAACACAACCCCGGCCTCTCTCCATCAATCAATATCCCGTTGTAAGATGTCCCGGTGGTGGGCAATATATAACCGCTGTGTGTTGGTCGGTTGACCACCAACTTTCTTGATTTCCAATTGTAGTGTGACCTGGGCCTCCTCAATTGTTAAACCCTCTGCGAGCCATGTCGCTGCCCCTCGTCGCCGGATAGGCCCTGGGCCCCGTCCTTGTTCTGCTAATAATTGTATTTCCTGCTGCTTTCTCGTCAGCACTTTAGTTGAATCAGACTAGCCCTCCTGTACATCCTTCACACTGACCTTTCTGCAATTGTACTTCATAAATATCCATGGCTGTTGGATCACGGCGACAGCGTTGGTGCACCAACCTTTCTTGGCTTTCCCATTCTCGAACTTTCCCAGGATCGGCAGTTTCAGCAAGCTTTTCAAATGCCAGTCAGCTGTCAGCGGCCTCCCTGACCGCCTGATTGTACTTCTTGCAAAGGGACTTGCCTGTATGGCATATTATAAATTGTCAAATATCATTGGACAGAGGACTCACTCGTTCTGATCATTTTCATGAAGTTGTAATCATTCATTTGATAGTCCAAGCATTTCTTCTGGTGTGGAGTTCCCATGCCGCAAGCAGCTGGCGAAATGATATTTAATGGCGCCCATAGAGTCTCCATAATTTTGCCATCAATCCGAGTGGCACCCTCAATAAAATTTGATGCATATCTGACATAGCAGCTGTCTTGATGCCCATGCACATGCCACAGTCCAATCCCAGGGATAATATCCAGTTCCTTAGGTATCTCTAAGATTGAACTCTCAGTGATGTGGTCCTTCAAATGCTTGTGGTACTGACAGTTTACATCATAAAATGTCAGGGCACGGTGGATTCCATTGGCGTTCATTTTTAATGCCTCGCATAACACATAATCCATGTTCATCTGTCTGCATGACTTCAGCAACGGCATTTATTCACTGAGATATTGAGACACCTTTCTCCCTTCTGAAAATCGACCATGGTGTGAGGCACAAAGCAGCCATGCTGTGCACAGGCACAACCGCCGATGCCCATTGCTTCCAATCTATGACGGGATGCATTTGCCTGATTCACCGCACCATGGTTGTTGCATTCCGGTTGTTGAGAAGTGTCCTGTGCAACGGCTAAATGCTCCTCGTACAAGGCGTCTCCTACCATAAACCCATGGCCATCCATAAGAGAGACTTCATCGCCGGGATGTACTGGATGGAGATGCTCAGCTTTGAAGTTTCCGTCCATGATGAGCGACCTCATGTACAACCAACTTGGAGTCTGTAAATTTGATCCTTTGTTCACATTAGAATCTTCCATTTGTTCTCCGACAGGCAAAGTGACATTAATGCCTGGCTGGGGACACGCCAGACAAAAGAGGGCTAGATCTCCGGGTCTGACGTCCTTTTCCTCATGGCCGAATCCGTTCCTTTTGAGAAGCTTAAGTTTTCTCCATTGTCTTGCCACCCTCATCAGCTCCCAGTACCAGTCCTTTCACCCAATAAGTGATTGGCCCAGCGAGAGATGAACACACTCACCGGCACTAAATGCGGAAAGACGGTCATTGTCATCCTTCTCAATTTGCTGTAGTAATTCATCGCCGAAGTCCCGCACTCCAGGTTGTCTAGCAAGAAGTCATTTAGGACGTTGAAAGTAAATGCTGTCTTCAGTTTCAAGAAAGACGCCAGGAATAAGCCCATTTGAAACATTTGTATATCGGCGGCGGCGTTTGGGCATGTGCAATACTTCACCAGGTGTGTATGCATGCCGGACTTGTCAACTATTGTTGTTAATGTGCTGTTACCCTTGACAAATGGCACACCGGTCGGAAGGTCATCAGCGCACTTTGAACTCGGGTCGCCGCCGTCTTTGTCTTCTGAACTCTCTATGTCTGTAGTGTTGGCTTCCTCTTCCCCTGTAGTAAATACACTAGATTCCCCCACATCATCGTCCCATGGACATGGGTTTCCATTATGGCCAAGCCAGATCACGATCCCACTCTTGACCAAGCAACTTTCCTCAAAGAAGGAGCCTGTCCATTGGCTGACTCGATGGAAGGGAAGTCTCTGGTGCTGGGTTCTGCAACAACTTGTGCAATAGAGAGGCTCACCGAAGCACCCATGACATTTGTAGACACCATCTGTCCCACATATGATACATGACCGATCTGATGGAACCTCCCTTTCCAGCAGTATGTCAAGATATGCTTTTGTCTTCGGGACCCATTGTCTTATATAGTCGTTTTGACTCTTGAGTTCAGATAAGCAGAGTGTAAAAGGTAAGGGTGAGGAAAGGCTCACCAGGGATTTTGGCAGGTGCAGTGGAATGACCCGGTGATCATCAAGTCCCCCAAGAAAGTCATCTCCACCATGGTGAAGCATGTCATGAGACAGCTGCTTAGAGGCAGACTTGGTAGGGGTTGCTGGAACTGATTGGCTGATCATGGGTCTCTCCACCCATTTGCCCACCACCTTCCTGGTCCAATATGATTTCTGCCATTCTACCACTGCATACTTTCGTTTGGGTGTCCACTCTTGGAGTCTGGAACCTTTCATTTGTTCACTGCAATGAGAATCTGCAAGAAGGGCAAGAGGTTTCAATTGGCCGATGGAACATGATTCTTGGGTTAATTTGATCATACTCGGATCATATCAGATAGGAGTACATAATATTAAGACCTAGAATGTAATATAAGATGATCCGAAGAGAACAAAGCAACCATATCCATCAGAATTACATAATATTAGCTGTGATACAAGGAACACCACTTCATCTTGACTGAACATAACAATGATATATATGACAAGTGCCCAATATGAACTGTAATATATGATGAACCGAGCAGAACAGAGAAACCCTGTGCAATCTCGGCCAAGGAACCAAACCTTACTGCCCCATATCAACCAACTACAGTATTTCCAATTCTTGAACCATTCAGAATCACTATCATCCATAACCCAACATGCCAAGAACTCAATCTCCTACAGTCCTCTCACAGCAGACGAAGGTTCACTTGGACAAGGCAGAGGTTGTGGTCCTCAGGGACCATCTGGAGGACTGGAGGTCAGTGATAGGGAAAGAAAGATCAAGGGTGCCCGTTGCCATCTACAAGGAAGCATCACTGCAAGCTCCTACCAAGGACTGAGCCATATTGAAAGCTCGGAAAAAAGTTTGTGACAATTTACACTTATTGGAATGATGAGAGCATTGATCGAATGTTGATGGAAGATTTACAAGCAATGGTTGCAAAACCAATCTCGGCGGAAAAAAAATCCCAAGCCCCTCATCAAGTATGGCAGACGTTGGACGGCGAGGCAAGTCCTGATCCAGACTCATAAAGACCTCATCCGAGAGGAGACCGGGGAGATGGCTGGAAGTGAGGAGATGATCAGCAAGTGGCCAAAGGCAGCGAAGTCAGTGATTGATAGGTTGTCGGTGGAGGAGAGGGAACAGGTGCAAGCCACAGCGGAGAAATGGAACAATCAAGCGGCGCCGCCAGAGGTTCAAGCCGAGGTCACCGAGAGCAAGGGCACCGAGATGATTGAGCATTTCACCACCAAAATGTTCAAGCAAGCTGGAATGAGGGTTTGTGTGCTGTCTGCATAGAACAACAGCAAAGGGAAGCTCATGTTAGGAGGGTGTGTCATCTCATACATATGCTACATTCAACATTAACTGTGTGGAAGTCATGACTTCAATGAACAGTTTGGGAACGGCAAGAGCTTCATTAAAACAAGGGATTGGGACGGCATTTTTATGCCAGAATGGGGGGAATATGCTGGGGAGCAATTCGGTGAGATGCAAATTATTTGTGCTGGACCAAACATACTAATGTAGGTGTAGATGCAGAAGATGGGGAAGAGCCCCTGACGGTGAAGTCAAAGAAGCGGCAGCACAGGAAGCTTGTTGAGCTCGAAGAAGATGCCGAAGGTTGGCCGATGCTCCCGGATACAATGAGATGGAATTGTGCCGAGCAACAACACATGATTCGATCTTTCCTCACGAAGCTATACAGTATGTACTTTTTATTTGACGTTAGAAATTATTTACACAAAGCATAGGGATGTGTGGGGGTGAAGACACCCTCAAGTCAGCGGTGCCCTGGGGAGATGTAAGCCAGGACCCATCGGCGTTCTTTGACAGTACACAATGGCCCGCCGGTGTGCAGTTCAAGGAACCCTCCAAGATGGACATATCAGATGCAAGTACTTTGCTACAATTCTTGTTCGCCTGGCAAGGAAAAAACATTCAACCCACCTTTTCATTCACGGCATGGCAAGATTCTGATGGAGACATCTGTGAGGCCATTGTGTTCCCAGCACCCCTGCACGCCGGCAGCAATGCAAACCATGCCCATCGGAGACAACAAAAGGCTCACCGGGCCATCAAGGATAGCATTTCGGAGGATGAGTTAGATAGCGATAATGATGGCTCATCAAGTGAAGATGACGGGCCACTTTTCACTGCCCGAAGGAAAGATGTCACGCCACCATGGCAGGCAACTCTCCCAGTGAACAAGCCCAAGCCTTGCAAGATGCAATCTGACCCTGCTCCCCAATGGCGAAGTGTACGGCAGATGTCAGCAGCCGTCAGCGATGTGGCAAAACCTGTGATTGCCGCAGTCAGCAATACCAAGGAGCCTGCGAGGACTCAGAAGAAGGCCGTGAAGCAGCCATCCACATCCTTGGGTGCTATCACAAGAGGCAAGGAGGTGACATATGCCGCCGATAAAAAGCCCAGGGGGTCAAAGCGCCGTGCTCCTGACGCTGTTAGTGATACACTGGCGAAGAGAACCAGAAGCAGGACATTTGCGCTGGAGTCATCTTTGGGTACACATGGCAAGAAGTAATCATACAATCGCATATCAGTAGAATACCAACAATCAATTCACTTTATGACCGGTGCAACACCGGTCTCATGCATATACAACAAATGAAGCTGCAAACCTATGTACAAGTGATTGGTATATGTATTGTGTAAACTAGTCACTGCCGGCAGACTTTCCCTCTGCCTTCTGCACCTCTTTGGACAGAGAGTCCACCAATGGAACAACTCTGGCCTGCACCGCTGCCATGTGATGCAAGTGGATCAAATCTTTGAAAATCCGGGTCAATTTATCTCTGCTCTCACAGAACGCTGACATGATGATCTGGTTGCTGTCCAGGACTTCATCGGGCTTAGGAGGCTGGACATCATCGCTGGGGTTGACTATGCTGCCAAGCATTAACTGGGCAAGCTTATCAACTAGGAATAGTCAGTAGAGTTGTACCGGACCAAGAAGTGATTCTTACATTCATCTCCTCCAAGGTGTTTGACTATGTTGATTGCCGCCTTCTCGGCATCGCCGACCATGCTCAAAAGGGAAGGCCAAGGTTCGGATGATTCAGCGGAATTGCTCGGCATGCATTTCTTTGGAAATGCGAACTCCACATTTGGTAGGCCCTTCAGTGTGTATGCCACGTCCATCTGAGTGGGAGCGGGCGGCATGGCTGCTGGTCCAGCCGCCCTAACCGGAAGAGGTTGCCAATCTCCCACTTTAGCCAGAGGAGCTTGACAATTGAATGGAAATGCTGTGAATACATGTCAATATAAATAAACACAAGATGTTGTGTAGGACTGACTTACGTGTATTGGAGAGATCATATCCCACATGAAGTGGTGGACCCGGCGCAGGTGTTGGCGATAGATTCCAACCAAAGTTGAAGGCTGGCTTTGGTATTGGAGGCGGAGGAGTGGGGATGACAGTTGGTGTCGCTGACCATTGCGGAGTGACATCTAAGTCCATTCCAAAATTGAATGGTGTCGTAACCGGTGTGACCGGATCATTTGTCGCAACTGGTGTGTTCCAGCCGAAGTCCAATATTGGCCGAGCTACTGGAGGCGGTGTGGGTGATGCCTCTATGCCAGCGTCAAACCCAAAGTTGAATGCCGGTTGGAGGATTGGCGGGGTGAGTTCCCGAGGTTCAAACCCAAAATTAAACCTGGACAGCGGCCCTGGCGGCACCGTCGCAGTGTCAGCCTGTGCAGCTGCTGGCCGAGGTGAGAGTGAAACATTGAGGTTAGTGTCAAACCCGAAGTTAAAGGCCGGTTGGTCCAGCGGTGTGGGTTGAGGTTCAAACCCGAAGTTGAGCTTATATGGCAGTGCCGACACCGTATCCGCCATGTTAACTTGGGAATGCACAGGGGGAGCCCCAAACCCAAAATACATCACTGAAAGAAATCATAAAGTAAGCTTTGATCTTGGCATGAAATGAGACTTACTGCTTGAAGTGTCGCCAGCGTTAGATGATGGCGCTTGAGATTCAAACTCGTCGTCCATCGGGATATCGAAATGGATGCAGCGGTCGTTTAAATGAGCCATGGTAGTCGATGGTACCAATCAGTGTTAAATGGAAGGGAGATGGCGACCTCTGGATGCTGGCATTAAATATCACACGACTGTGGTTTGGTCCATGGCAGGGTTTAAATGTGGGCCACACAACAATGGATGTTTGCCATGAGAAATCAGGCACGTTACCCATCACAGTGCTTCTCCGGCCTCATGGCACCGGGTCCCGAGCCGATCTATGTGGACTTCAAATTTCAATTGGTCCACTTTCACATATATTGTCAGAATTAATCTTGTGGACTTTTGCCTTTGTTTCCGCCCACATATGATGCCATCCACAACAGTTTCCAACAAAGCACCTGAAGATGCTGCTGCTCGAGTGCAACAACTGGTGGCTCAAGCTATGCAGTTGAAGAATGGCCCCGCTGGCCATTTCATGATGGCCATGGAAATCACAAAAAATTTGGTGAGTATGCCATGATGAACAATGGACTGGGGCTGAATCAACACCAGTCACCGGTGTTTGAACCACATGGACGATCAGCGAGCATGATTTCGCCATTGTTGCTATCGGCGGCGATGGAGTTGCAGTCGCATTTGGACCCGGTGACTCACCAATCCTGTATAAGTATCCCCATATGGGGCAACATTATTATGGATGATCGCCACATTGAGAAACATCCTTTGTACCGGAAGGCTCTCAAGTTTATTGCTTCCTCAAGCCCATCGCCATTGTCCCACCCTCCGGTACAACCGGCTGAGGCGGTGATTGACAATGCAACGGAGGACCCGCCAGTTGCGTCAAAACCCAAGCCAAAGCCAAATCATATCCATAAGAAAACACTGAAGGTCATGGATAGTTCTGAAAGTGATGGCATCAAAATCATTGACCATGTAGTTGCCACTAACACCGCTCCGCCGGACATTCGGAAAGGCAGTAGCAAGCACACTGTCTCTCAGGATCAGAGCGATGAAACCACACTGGTGGAAATTTTGCAAGGGAATACCATTGTGGTTAGGGAGAGGCCCATGCCGAAGCAAAAGCAGATCCAGGCTGCCGGCGGATGTGAACTCAAGCCGGCTGTGAGGGACTGAAAGGGTAAGGGCAAAGAGGTCCCACCGCAGGTGGATAGTGCAGACGGCCATAGTAGCACACAGTTGCGCAGGAAAAGATCCAGGGACTCCAGTCAGAATGAGCAGGTTACGAAAAGCACGCCATCAGCCACCCGTCCGCCGGTGTCCGCCGACACCGGCGATCAATGCAAACCATGGTTTGAACATCCTATTCCTCTGCCGGTATGGATCACATTATTTTTGCGTTTCTTTTTCATCATGATGCTTCTGTAGACCACGGACACCAGCAAGGTTACGATAGGCAAGCGGCACAAAAGTAGCCACCGGCACACTCCGTGAAAGGAAGACGAGAAAGACCTCTCGCCGGCAGCTACCAGCGACATTGTGAAAGGTATGGAGGATATTCAGCCGGTAAGTATGGAAGTCCGTGTTGTGTGAATGTTCGTTGACGTGTTATAGAATACCGAGTATATTGGGTCTGATGACCATGTGACTGGGATAAGAGATGCCGGTTCAATGAGGCACTCTTTACCACCCATCACCACTGTGTCCGCACGTTCGTCACTGGAATCATCTGCAGTGACAATGCACGCAGTGATGCCACCACGGCGCTCGCATCCGCCACCATCACGCACCGAGGTCATGGACGTTGATGTGCCCACAGATGCAGTAGTGAAGGACTTGCAAGCAATGACGCTCCAGGTCAGAAATGACTCGGCATTACTCTCACACAATCATGAAGACTTTCACAGTACCATCGACGACCTATGCAATCAGGTTGCTGAACTCCGTGTTTGTAATGCTGCCGCCGCCAACTCCCTTGATGCGTTGAATGTCCATGTCGCCGCTCAGGATGCCGAGATGAAAACAATGGAGAGATTGCATGCCAATGTTGCCATGCTTCAGGAGCAAGTTCGCGTCTTGCATGCAGAATCTCGGACACATGAGAACCAGCTCCGTGCAGCTGATGTTAAATTGGCATCACAGGGGAGTACGACTGCTGTATTGCAGGACGCCTATGAGTCCCTCCAACAATGTTTGATCCCTACTCCGTCCATACCTCCCCATTACAATAATGCCGTGTTCTTTCCTGGTTCCAGTCACCAGACTCCCTATAGTCACGGCCCTAGTGTGAGCCAGGCCCAGGCGATGGAAAGGTTATACTTTAACTTTACCCCAGGGCCGTCCACGGCCACCGGACCATCAGTCGCAACTGCCTCGGCAGGCGCTCGCCTTGCGGGAGACATGGATGCAACTCCAGGTCCGTCAGCTGCAGCTGGTGCATCTATTAGCTCTCGCATGGATGCACCTTCAGGTGGTCGTATGTCAAGGAGTTCTCAAAGCAATGATACCCCCGGTGCATCGGCCTCCGGATCTTGCCACAATTAGATAGTGTTTCATACACATGGTCTTTCTATTTGTAGATACGTTGAAATAGGCGCCGCCTAGTGTGATATGTGATCAATTACGTGCTCAATTTAAGTATGTCATTTTTACGCAAATATCTCCGGTGTCTGCAGACCAGCATATGTAATTACGTGCGACATGTGTTGCACCGGCGAGGCTCGGGCATGCATCCCTCATTACTGGTCGCCCCGCACAATGTTCCTTACGTCCTATGAATAAAGTTTGATAAGCCAGTATCATAAAAAGTCAGCAATGATACAGTTTCCGTCCCCCATGCATGAATCCCATTCCTGCTGATTGGGCATTGGCCACCACTCATCTTGCTAGTGACTATGTCTCCCGGCAGTTTTGTTCCATTGTCAGAGCGATGCCCAAGGTCCTCCCTCCCCCAGAGCTCGATGTCATTTTGCTTGTGGCCTGCTGCAATCTTGCACAGCGCCTCGCTGAGGCATATCTCAATCCAGGTTTGACCTTGCCACCCGTCCGCTGCTCATTCTGACTTGTCATCAGTGACAATCAACTTTGATTTGGTATGCTATTCGGAAGTGTTGCATATGCAGGAAACCGGCATTAATTCTCGGCGCAAAGAATCTCTTCTAGAGCGATATCCGCCGGGTGGTCAGCTTATCCTTGAGTGGCCTACTGTTGTGCTGGACCGATTCGGCGTTATTGTTCTATGGTATCTTCCCAGGGCGATTGATGAGGCAATAAAGGTGGGTGCTCAACACCCGCTGATGGTGTTTATTGACTTTAGTAGAATGATATGTTGGCGGCAACCATGATGATGTCGGACCATTTGGGTAAAAGCGTTAGCCGAACTTCCGCCATGAAAGGGAAATGGCGCACGCACCAGAGCAGTTTTCAAAGCAGTGAACATGGCCTTACTCTGGGTTGCATCAATTTATCTCCGGGATGGTTTCTGCAAGGTCATCTGGTATGTCGGCAATTTATGGCCTGAAGTACTGGCTCATGTCACTAGGCTCCAAAGTTTCATCCGGAAGTATCGGCAACTCTTAAACAGGACGGGCCAACTTTATGTCAGGCGATCCGGCGACCGGCGGTTTTGGCTGCTGCTGCATTGAGAGTCATGCATGGTAGCTTATACTGGTCGTCTTTGACAACACAGCTCGGCCTTGGTCTATGGGCAGACAATAATCAACTTAAGGAAATGGGGAATTGCCTGAGAGAATGGGCTTCTTCATTTATAGTTCTCGCCGTGATGTGCAATCATTGTTCACCGCTTCACTGAGACTCTCAATCCCTTGCTCAATGGTTCGATATCATGACCGGTATCGGCGATTATGGACCGGCGTAAATGAAATTTCCAAATATTGGCATTGAAATTGCCTATAATTCAGGTGTTATGGTTGGTACTTCGGGCAGAGTTGTTAGGCATGGGGTAGACAGTGTGATCGGCGATAGAGTTAGCTGGGTGTGGTACATGAGGGATGATATTTACAAATTTGTTGATATACCCCGAGGACACTATTCCAAGTACGAGTCAATAATCGCTGATGCATTCTGTTGTAGATAGAAGCATAGCAGATATGATATCTATGAATTATGAGTACTTTTTATTACTAGTGAACATTTATTATGTGTCCGATGGATAAGTGATTTGCTTGTAGCACCATGTCGCCGTCACGCCGCACGTTGGGATTTGTTATGCGGGCCTACCGGTTTCTAACATACCAGGCCTGGGCCCACCCCTGTAAAGGATCCCGCTCCCAGGCCTGTGGTTGCCGTCACATACCGATGGTGAGCCCATGCTACACATGACCGGTATCTGGGCCCTCCCGACAGTGGAGGTGTATATGGGTCAGGCCGGGTTGCATTAACCGCGGTGGTGTTGTGGGCCCCACCGGCTGGTATGCATACAAACTGTGTGGGCCCATCCTAGCGATTTATCATACGGCCCACCTGAGCGCCAACCTTCGGGGCCTAAGCCCATTTGTATGTGTAATGGCTGCTGCCAGGCCCACCCCTCCATCCTGCATTGCATGAATGGGCCCATTCCTTTGGTTAGCACAGGACTCCATTGATTGGACATCCACCGTGTTACACCGCTGATGCACGGTGTAAATGTAATGCAATCGCCACTAGTAGTCAGTCTATTGCATCGCCGCCCATAAATTCAAAATGGCACCCACCCACCGCGTTGTAGAGACTCATGCCTCTCATGGCATGATATGGCAGTTTCCACTAAGGGAGTATACAGCACCAACTTGCAGCACCACTCTGTGTACTGTCCACAGCAATTCCTATATGAGGCGCAGCTTTCCTGCGCTTGCGCGCCCTATAGCGCCAGCCATCCAGATGCATCCATCCACTGTCCACCAAGCTCCCTAGTGCGTATATTTCCATTTCCTTTATTAGCATAGTGTTCCACCTTTATTTTTATCATGGACTCTCACCCATATATATCCTTACATACCTACTCGGTAGCGCTTCGGCTCCGCATGACTGCGCTTAGGCGTGCTATATAAGCGCCAGCAGTACTTACTTTTCGGAAAACTTTACTTTTGACTTGAGTACCACCCACTATTTACCTAGCTGAACATAGTAGAAATCTATTTGTCTGCACTTTGCACCTCTCTTCACTTGTCTTACATCTTATCCTCACTTAAGCTTACTCTTTCTCATTTCCACACACACGCACGCGTGTTCCCGCGCCTTCGTACCTTGCGCGCACCTGCGCTTTCTTGCGCCTCGCTTCAGCACGTACCTCTAGATCTTTGCTGCACTCACTTCCCTTTAGGGTCGAACACGCTTGTCTCCTCAAGTAATGCAGACTAGGCAACACACGACCTACAACATTTTATAGATACTGTCAGGAGCATCATTTGTTCCTAGCAGTATTGTTGTTTCTACAGCGTATCAGGGGCGCAAGGCGCCGACCGTCCGGCGACATCTGGGCATGTGTTCGCTGGCTGGAACAACCATTCATTTTTGCTGGCAGCCATTTACTTTTTAATTCTCCGGTGTGTTTCATTTCCTCACCACCCATAATATCACCGGTGAAAGTATTCCAGTGATCCCCGAAACCTGTGGGCCCACTCAAGACTGTTGAGCAATCACTTTTCTGCTTTACCTCGGGTCCACCTGTAAGCACAATATATTCAATCCAGAGACCCATGGGCCCGCCCAAGCTGTTGATGAATATAAGGCATGGGCCCTAGCCTAGCCATGGGGTACACAACCACAAAGGGCCCACTCTATGACACCTACTTACAATTATAATGTGGGCCCAGGTGGGTTGGCCCATATCACTTGGCAGAAATGTCAAGGTGGGCTGGACAGTAAGTAAGGAGATATGTCACTGTATTATGTGATCTGATAATAGACATGAAAAAACCTTTTTGTGAGCCGGTTGAAGTTGAAGTTCAGTAGAGCTAGACAATGCACGTTTGCGGTTTGTTGAGCTGGTGGAGGTCGAGGTTGAATAAATGTTCTCAGCATCCAAGAGGCGAGCAGATGGCTTAGAGGTCCAAATGGATCGTCGAGCACCAGCTGTAACTGGTGTTGGTTTGTGCCCAGTATTCAGTAGCATAGAGAAGGCATCTTGAGGAGGATTAGTAGATGATGATGGCTGGGGGGCAGACGACGTGGTGTCAAGGGGGACAGAATCATCGGGATCATGGTAGAAGACAATGTCCTTGGCATCCTTGAGAGAACCATCAGCATTGACAGTGCATAAGTCTGAATGAGCCATGTTGAATATATTGCTCACCTGCTGAGGCTTGCACATTTTATGTGCAAGCAAATCAGACAGCCGGTGGACAAACAGCCGGTGGAGGATCGTAATAGCATCGTAGGGTGTTGGTATAATAAGGATCTTGGTGAGGACATGGTCATTATGAGCACAACGCTCACACTGTTCTGTTTTAACAGTGCATGTCATGACTTATCTTGCCAATGAGCCTCTGCATTTGTCAGAAACAAGTAAGTATCGAAGGTCGAGAATCCGTGAGGCCAAGGCGGATCATCAAAGGCAGTGTCAAAACAGGCTTCGACAATGTGGCAGAACTTCTTGCGGTTCAGGGAAGGTTCGAACCAACATAGAACTGTTCGGGCAAATGGTGGACCACGAACCTCACTCAGGTCCGGTCCGCCCCAAATCATGGACCACGGACCATGGTTCTGGACCGAACCACAGCAGCTCACTGCAAGAACAAACGCGCCAATCATCCTCCCCATCAGCAAGTCGGCGCTAAAGCAGCAGTTCAGACGAATAATCAAAAAAGAATCATCAAACATCATGAGAAACTCACTGCGATACAAACGCCTTCATGAAATTGATGCAACGGCTCCTTCGAAACACTTCTCAAAGCTGATAGAAAAACTCCCGCACCGACACTCTTCACTTCTCTTCCAACTTTGTTCAGGACACGCCCCGCTAAACAAGCACCTACACTGTATTGCAAAAGTACCCAGCCCCAAATGTCAGCAATGTGGCGAGCGCGAGGAAACGGTCCACCATTTCATAATCACCTGCCCAAAGTACACAACACAATGCCTCGCACTCCAACTCGAACTCGGCTCACAGACCACTCTCCTCAAGAACCTGCTGAACAATTCAAAGTGCATCAAACCTCTACTGCGCTTCATAGCGAGCACGCACAGAATGGAACAGACCTTCGGTGATGTCACACCACCTGCAGACGAAGATGACGAAGAAGAATGAACGAGCCTGCACTCCCACTATCGCCTTTAGCTGGCCTTAACTGTCCTTGTATTTCATCTGGACCAATGATTGTACACCACCGGACATATATAAACAAATAGTACGCTACAGTAAAATACTCGCATGTTTTGTCTACCATAGGGCTATGCTCCAACGGACAATAAACACTGATTAAAAAAAAGAAAAGAAAAGATATCTTTGATCATTAAGGGCCCGTCACGCATGGTGAAGGAAGACTCAAACGGCTGCGTCCAATTCGGCATTCCATGGCAGGCAAGATGGAGCCATTGATTACGGTCAAGTGCATCAAGTGCACCCTCGACTGTTGCGTTGCCATCCTGAGGGATGTGAAGGAGATGACGGGAGTAACGTGGCGAGCGATGACGGCTAGCTCAGGAGTGACACATTTGAGCTCCTTCCCTTCAACCGGGTTGCCTTGGCCGATGGCAACGAAATGTTGCGAGGACGTATCTCGACAAACCTGCTGTCTTGCACGAACAAGAGTCGCCAAAGTGGGGGTGGAAGAGGAGATGTAAATGTCGGAAAAATTGTCTCTCCCCTTCTCATATGGTCCTGCTGCATGGAGGGGAAGCAGTGTGAACTCAGCAGTGGAACACCACCAGATACGCGAACCAGGGCGAACTTGAGACTCCTTGAGAGCTTGGACTATGGGGTCAATGACATCATTCCAAAGCTTGCGAAGGATGCCGACAAGCGTAAGTTGATAATCAGAAGATCCAAACTACTCTGCGAGTGATTAGAACTCTGAGGAGAATTCGGACACTTCGGCTTGTGTAATGTCAAGCGGAACATGGACAGGATCTCCCGCGCTATGGATGATCAAGGTGTCGCAGCTGCGCTGACCAGCATTGATGATTATCACTGGGCCATCTCCAGCCGCCTTCTGGAGGCCAGAAAACAGTGGAGGTAGGAGAAAACGTGAGATGTCGGGGAGCAGGCAAATGCGCGAGACAACTTCATCCCATTGCATTGTCAGCTGTCGGATTTGCGGAGACTGGTCTTCAGACTGATCAAATGTGTTACGAAGGAGAACACTCAACCGTTTGAACTCTTCTGCCAAGACCATGCCTGCTGTAGAAACAACAATACAGAGAGGAACAAATGAAGCTCCTAGCTGTATCTAAAAAATGTTGTAGGTCGTGCATTGCCTAGTCTGCTATTCTTGAGACGACAAGTGTGTTCGACCCTAGGGGAAGCGAGTGCAGCAAGGATCTAGAAGTGTGCGCTGAAGCAAAGCGCCAGAAAGCACAGGTGCGCGCAAGGCACGGGAACACGCGCGCGTATTAGCGCGAAGCATGGGAAAGCATGCGCGCGTATGCAGAAATAATAGAGAAGTTAGACTCAAGTGCTAATATGATGCAATATAAGAGAAGAGAGATGCGAAGTGTAGACAAATAGACTTCTACTATGTTCTGCTAAGTAAAATGGTGGGTGGTAACTAGTAAGTTAAAGAGAAAGTAAGTGAAAAGTAAGTGGAAAACTCTTCCTCGTAGTATGTACTGCTGGCGCTTATATAGCGCGGTCATGCGGAGCCGAAGCGCTACCGAGTAGGTATGTAAAGATATATATAAGTAAGGGTCCATTATAAAAATAGAGGTGGAATGATATGCTAATAAAAGAAATGGAAATATATGCACTAGAGGGCTTGGTGGACAGTGGATGGCTGGCGCTATAGGGCGCTCAAGTGCAGGAACGCGCGCGCGCGCGCATACATCGTGAAGCACGGGAATGGTGCGCGCATGGTGTGCATTGCGCGGGAAAGCTGCGCCTTGTATAGGGATAGCTGTGGGTAGCGCACAGAGTGATGCTACAAGTTCATGCTATGCACTCCTTGGTGGAAACTGCCATGTCACGCCATGAGAGGCATGAGTCTCTACACCACGTCACCTGAAACAGAAAGTTCATTGAGTGATGTGTTGAAGCGTGCCAACTGGGTCCAGAACACTGCACGATCTTGCTCCACCAACTCCACCGCAGTGGTCAATGCACCATGACAAACACTGCATGCAAAAGCATCCGTAGCGAGAGAAGAGACAGCCCCTCTGATGACATTGAAGTGATGCGAAGAAGACGACAGGAGAGCAACTTGCTGATCTAAGGATTTCAGTGCAATCTTATAAGCAAGCAATGCAGATGGGTGATTGAAGATGTCAGTGGAGGCCGCCCATGACTTGGCAGCATTAAGATGTGTGCGAGATACTGCATGTGATAGGCAGGAGAGTTGAAAGTACACGCTGAATGCTTCTTCAAGGTCAGACTGGACACCCTGTTTCTGGAATCTGTCTTTAAGGCTGAGTGCAAGATTGTTCAAAGAGTTGGATTGAAGTGAATGACCAGAGGGACGGAGGAGTAATGCAGCGCGATGGAGCTCGATGGCCTCATCAAGGTCAGACATCATGCCGCGCTGCTGGAACCTGTCTTGAAGGCTGATTGCAAAATTGTTCAGAGACATGGATCGATCTGAATGACCGGGGGGATGGAGGAGTAATGCAGCCCGATGGAGCTCGATGGCCTCATCAAGGTCAGACATCATGCCCCGCTGCTGGAATCTGTTTCGAAGGCTGGCTGCAAGATTGTTCAGAGATGAGGATCGATCTGAATGACCGGGGGGATAGAGGAGCAATGCAGTGCGATGGAGCTCAATGGCCTCATCGAGGTCAGACATCATGCCCCACTGCTGGAATCTCTCTCGAAGGCCGATTGCAAGCTTGTTCAGAGATGACGATCGATCTGAATGACCGGGGGGACGGCGAAATAATGCAGCACGATGGCGCTCGATGGCCTCATCAAGATCAGACATGATGTTCCACTGCTGGAATCTGTTTCGAAGGCTTTTTACAACATTTTTCACAAACATAGCTGAAATACTGGGGTGGATGGAGGAGTATGCAACTCGATAGCCTGGGTGAGTGAATGCAAGATAACCACTGCTAATCCCGCTGTGAAAGGTGTTACGTGAGCGCAAAATGGAGTGAGATCGCAGGTAATGCACACTTAGGGAGCTGAAACTGCAATACTTGTACACCGAAAACCCACCAGTGCAAGGGGAATGATATCGTGAGTGCTCAGCGATCCCTAGAATTTAAAGGTGAGCTGCAAGACCAAGGTGAGGTTGAGGGTTTGTTGGAGCACTACACGAGGCTAGAGCATTGCGGCCTGTAAAGTACACATGCAAGTTGCAAGTTGAATACATTAAACCGCACTGCAGCTGCGTATCGGGTCAAAATCTCATTTAAAACAACATGAGGGTGACATGATGAGTTCACTGGCCTTCAATTACATACTACTAGTATGACTTCGGAAATATTGCCGGCGTATTTCACCATCAGTTTACGTCAAGCACGAGCCCTTTCCAGCAAGTTCAGGAAAAGGCATTCAAAAATATGCAAGGCATGATAGAAAGCACTGGTACTAGGCCTCCACCATGACCACTTTATTGGCGATATAAAACAGTTGTCCAAACGAGCTTGGACTCTTAGAGTCCATTTGTGGTACTAGCATGATGCTCCATGTTTGATTTAGTAGAAGGAGACTCGAACGTACGGGTACCATGAAGTAAGTATGCCTAGATCATGGAGGCTGTGAACACTGAACGTTGAACAACAGGACATGCCTAATACATACGAGCTGCCACATTGAGAGTTTGTCCATGAAGGACTCGAGATGCTCGATCGAAGATGGAATGATCAAGTTCGGTTTTTCCTTCTTCTTTTTCCATAAATGGCTGAGTTTGACGGGCGAAATAAATGAAATATTATCCGTGGGTGGCACTTCGACAGGCGGTAATGGGGTGCATGGTCCAGGAAGAGAACTTGAAGAAATAAAGCAGGATCTGAATCTGGACTCTACAAAGTCATTATGATGCGCCCAAAAGCTAGACAAAAGCACTCACTCACGTGTAAGGCTGCCAATGAATCCAGCAGGGAATTGTGAACAGAAAAGGACTGCGCCGTTTACGTGACCCACGAATTGCGTCAGGAAGTCGAGCGTCGTGCCCGACACCATGCAAGACAGGTTGTGAAACAGAAGGCAACACATAAAGGCAAACAACATGCTGGTGTCGTAGACCAAGGGGAGTCTAATGACTCACTAAAATTAGATGAGAACATGAAGCGATGCAAAGAGTTTAATTTTCAGACGTATAAGTTCCACGCGTTGGGAGATTATGTTTCCACGATTCGCCAGTATGACACGTCTGATTCTTATAGCACTGAACCAGTTCGTGCTACAATATTCAACTGCGAACTTCACTCATTTAACTTCTACAGGGTGAACTGGAACATCGTTCTCCGAAGTCCAGATACAGTCAGACGGATCGCAGATCCTTTGTAAAACAGCTGACTCGGATCGAACGCCGTCAGGCTCGCATCCATCGTATTGGACACAATACTGTTCATCGTCCTCAAGTCGAAATTTCCGAGATAGCAAGAAGCCCTCTAGCTCACCACTATATTGGATTGACACAAAAGCACATTGTGCACATAGGATCTTACTTAGTCGATCATCGAGGTGATCCAGCCATAGCAGTCAGTGCTTCATTGCGTTATTAGATAATGTCTAACACGCCTATATAGCATTTTGTTTTGAAACTGAAACACCATCTATTGCATCGAGTCAACACATCGGAAGATTCTCCAGAGTTAAGAACTGAACACAACATTACCACGATCATTATCAAGGACGATCGGATGTACGAGCATCACATTGCTAGGTTCAACTACACAACCTATGATGTTCACAGAGCCCAAGACGTCATCAACCCAAGGACTTCTCATCATAACGTTATGGTTATCCGTCCCGACAATGACATGGGATGCCAAGGCCATAGATATATGTATGGCAGGATATTGGGCGTGTACCACATCAATGTGATCATTACCGGACACGGAATGGTCGACTGTACTCCTGTCAGAATGGAATTTCTATGGATTCATTGGTACAGGTTCTTGGATCAGCGCTCTAACTGGTCGACCTCGACTCTAGATTGAATGAACTTCCCCCCCCCTGACAGACGAACACTCATTTGACTTCCTTGATCCTGCAGATGTTCTTCGTGGCTGTCACATCATACCTCGTTTCACCAGCGGTAGGAGACATGAGGATGGAGTGGGTGTATCGGCATGTGTGAAGGACAAGGATGATTGGTGTGAATACTATATCAATCGGTGAGTCAGTTGTATCACATCATAAGTCAGCATTTTATTCAGTTCATCACGTCAGGTTTGTAGACCGCGACATGCTTATGTGGTTTCACTTTGGGCTTGGTGTCGGGCACGTGTACTCTCACTATCGCGTTACACAGGCTGGGCCTCAACATGCAAGCACATCATTACAGCCTTCCTTGACTGATGGTGTTGAAGAACCTGCAAACGATGTGGAAGTAGATGAATACGAATACGAAGATGATGGCACTGAGGATGGACTGGATATCGAAGGGTCGCTCAGTTCCAGCAATGAATCGTTGTTAGAACAATTCGATCAGATGTACAATAGTGAAGTTGATCTAGATTACGAGAACTAGTTCATGAAAATATTGGGATAATGCCCAATGTAGCCAGTACATCAAATATCTGTTATAGCCAGGCCTTGCGGTGCCTTTCAGTGGACATGTCGCCGCTACTGTAGGCGAGTTACAATTTGACGCAAATGTGACTGTTACCGCTATCCCACTCGCGCTACTATACATATTTTGCCCCTTTCAGTACATTTATTATCCAAAAACTGAATTCCACCGGATTAGCAGTCGATCTAGGCGTTCGCAAGTGAACAGAACTGGGACATGAGGTAGGCAATTATGTTTAAAGGTGAAAATTTGCATATATCTAACTTACCACGTCTTGCTGTGTTTAACACCATGGAACCTCAGAACGTCAGTTGCTATTTTTTTGGCGAGACTCATCCAACAATTTTACCTCTCACCGTATGTGTTCTTTTGCCTTGCCAACAATGTTGCTAACTTAATTCCTTCAGGGAGGTATCATTGGTGGAAGTGAAGGGTTCCATTTCGCAGGATACCTGACGATACCCCCACGACCCGTCCTTTACCCACTATATGTAGGTGGATCCTATTTCTTGAAGACTTGGGGTGTCTCATCATTGGCACGCAGTGCGTCAGTCATAGGCTTGATGCTGTAGGTGGCTAATTTTCTGGGGATTATATGCTGATGTTCTCTGTAGCTCAAGCTCGAAATTACATTACTTGATTATTTGGTGACAAGCACTCAAGACCACAATCCCACTTACGAACTCAACAACCAAGGCAAAGAGGTTCCCATTTACATTGATGTATGAATTTGCACCAGGACTATGTCTTGCCTTTCCACTGATTAGTCCTGTAGCGCCGTGGCCCCGCAATGACATTAGACTGGGAAATCGCCTGGTACAAACAAGGGCCCAACAAGATCCATCGAGTCTATCAATGGGTAAGCTCGTTTCACAATATTGAAGCGATCTCGCCTAACGATACCTTGGCCTCAGGACAACGCAGATAATGGGAATAAGTACAAGACACTTGCCTATTCCGCCGATTATCCCATGGGATACGTCCCTGCGTCCGCTTCTGCTTCTTGTTTCCAGTCTGCTCCCTTTTCCCCGCATGCTCCTTATTCCTTGTCTGCTCCCTTTTTCCAGCCTGGTTCCTATTCCTCACCTGGTTCCTTTTCTTCGCCTGAATATAACTATTCATTGGCGCAATTCTCAGATCTTTTCGGTGCAACCGCGAACCTTTCAGCATCACCAGAGATCGAAGTCGCACAGGTATGTTCTCTAATCCTCCTTCGCCCTGTAATGTGTTCACCTTTATACCAGGAGATGACCAATAATACTCTCGCAATGGTTGAGCCTCTAACTTCGTCACGCAAACAACCTTCGGTTGTGCCAGGAGTGTATTTATCTGCACCACAGTCTCCCGTGGGCTCTTCTGTAAACCTCCGCTCTCCTATGGACTCTGCACCAGAGTCGTGGATCATGTCATCGGCTATGGATGCCAGCAGCATTCAGGTAGATGATGGTGCACCGCAACCAGTTGCGCCCGAGACTGCTGTCCATGCAGACACATTGCATACAATTCTCCCGGATTATCCGCTATGGAGGGACACCCTAGTCTGCCTGCAGCTCAAGATGAAAGTCAAGGTTTGCTACAGGGGGGCTCAAAATCCATTTTTACTCACACAACCTAGTTATACTGACCAAAGGATACAATTTTTTGAGATGCTCTTCGAGCAGAGTCTTATCGCAGTTGGCATAGATCACAAGGATCTGGAACAAGGTTAGGAGCTTGTTGAATTAATACCTTCTTCTGCACACACTGACTCTTTCAGTTATATCCAAAGATGGGGTAACCGTCATCACAACAGATGAAATGTTGGCAATGGTATGTTATCCACGCTTCAATTGACTTGTCTCACCTAGAACAGGCCGCAAAATGGCTTACAGGATTCACTTCCGAGGCGAAGCGCATGGCCAAATTGGCTATCATGGACACCAGACCAGTGTTTGGTTTTGGCCTCCATGACACGGTGGCCGCAGACCCAAGCCTATTGGCGAACAAGTGTGTGGGGTTCTTGAGCGCTTTATGACCCCACAGTCTGCATTACTCCCCATTTCAGTCAGTCTTTTGAGCTGCCTTGAGTATCAATGTCTGATTATCATGCAGGCCAATAGCTTAAAGTGGCTTCTGGAACACAAGATTATCAAGTCACTGATCTATTATTTCATTTACCACGCCAGCACAACTTCTAGTAGACGAGTCGTGATTAGCAACGAGGAACCAGCTATTTTCCTGACCGCCCAACTCCCACCCATGGAGATGGTAGCGTTTTTCCTCACTATCGTAAGTAGCTTATTTTCGTCAAACTCTCACTTGCTTTAATCTGTTGCTTTGATTTAGTGGTACAGTGCCCTCTTGGCTCGGCTCATTGAGTTGATCAAGGCAATGAGAACCTTGGGGCTGCCTGTCAACATCATGATGGCAACATTTCCCCCAGCCTCTACTATCTATGCAGAAGTGCTGGTGCGCCTATTGCATCTGCTCGCACAGACAAACGACCCAGCATACCCAGACCTCCTGGAGGTGCTTGCAAGCATGTGCAACATCGAGTGAGTTGCCAGAGTTGAATTCATTTTTGCACTACTGATTGATGGGGATGCAACCTGCAGCAAGGATGATGTCTGCAGGATCGATCACCCACGGTTAAGTACTCCGAATAAGTCAGATTCTATACTTCGGATATCTTGTACTGGTCGGTTTGAAATGCACATCGGGCTCTGTGTTGTGACCTGGTTCGAGAATTTAGATGCTCAAGCACAGCAGGTGCTAAAGCGTGTAGCAATGGGAATTCTGTGAATGCAAGTATGAGCCTACATTCTTTAATGTAACATCAAAAACAGCTAATGCTTGAGAACGTCATGTTAGGATCTTCGATTGAACTGCATGGTCTCCTGTACAAATCGCAGTCTTGTGACGTAATCACTGGCCATTGGAAATAAATTTCGCCAGCGCACAGCCACCGCTAGCTGGCCAGCGCTGAATACTCCGCCCTCGATAATTGTACGAGTTTCCCTCAAGCCTCTTTGCTACTCATCCACCACTTCAACATGTTAAATATTAGTTCAGGGTTATTTTCTGCATCCGCATCCTTCACGCCTTCAACAAGGCACTTTCTTGCAATTGAGCATACCGAGCACGCCCTCAAATATTGGCTCCAGACTCAAGGACGTGAAATTGTCAGTCCACTTAAATATCTGTCATCCTGTTTTTTCTCTTATAACACCACTCTAGGTTCCAGACCCGCTTTTTGCCACAACCTCCGTGTTGTTTGGATGGGTTGATCCCCTTGATCTTATAGCTGTCCTCCAAGTGAGCCTCAGGGTGGCTGCAATAGAGAGACAGCTACTGAAAGAACAAAACACTATTTTTTACATTCCTTGTGCGAGGAGGGCGATCTTTAATGGAAGAGAGGATGTATCGAGCTCAGCTGGAGGTCTCGTTGTTCAGTAAAGCCATTGCAAACTTATGTGAAGAGCTGAAGACCAGATGCTGCCCATGTGAGCCACATTGTTTGTAAATGATGCCTTACTCTAAATTTATTTCTAGCTACATGGTCAAGGACACAGCTCATACAGAAGGCTGAAGAGGATCTGGTCGCATCCCAAGTGACACAGCTGGCCAATATCAATCTTTTGCCGGTTGATTGCGATCAATTTGAGCTTTCAAATGCTACTTGAGAAAAATGTGAAGCATGGCTTGCCACGTCATGGCAATTTGAAGTGGATTTCCCACAAGCTCACAAAGTTCCTGAGCTTTATGAACACCTTTCGAGGGTGAGTGCTATTTATACTTGGAGGGACTCGCAGTTCTGACGCTATGCAGCACGACAATGACTTTCTTTCCCCTCTGATGCAAGCTTGGTTTGGTTGTGTCACATATCGTACCTATATCACCACATCCTCTGCAGACTCCAAGTCCATATGCATCGACAACACTGAAAGCTTCAAAGCAAAGAAGAACAAAATGCCAGATGCACTCAAGTCCGATTTTTCTATTCTAGAGTTGAAGAAACAACGTGCACAAGCTGAAGTAGACATGTTTTCTGAAGTCATAGCACACACTGCTGGAATTCAGTACAGTGATGATGGTCTGCTTGCAATTTTTGCTTCGGTTGTCTCACACTAAAATGACTTTAGGAACGTTCACTTCTCGTGGCACTGCTGGGACATTCGAATCACATCTACCTGCTAACTCTTCCAAATGGTTTGATTACTGGTTCGAAGATTGGTGTTCGACCTCGTCTGTATCTTCCGATGCATCTGTGCTCTTCTGACGATTTCACTTATACCTAGTATGTGATTTATGCCTACCAAATGTTGTATTGACATAAGTTAACCAGTGTGTTGTACATCATACTTTATTCATGTTGCTCTTATCACCAGAATTTTTATTACTTCGATTATTCATCATGATCTTGTCCCATGAAATAGCTGTTTCACGCTCTTGATGATATTTACCACATTGTTCACTGACTCCTCACTTGCAGGCTGATCGTCCCATTTCCCAATTGTGTGATCTGGAATCTCTTGTAGAAAAGCTCTAATTACGCCTGCACCGGGGGACGCTAGCGATTCCGGCATTTTGATTGCGGTGTTGTTCGCGATCCTATAGGAACGTACAACTGGTCGTCTGTAACTGAAGACGATTATCATCGCACCCTGATCATGAACTGCAATCAGTTCGGACGAGCAATGGTTCTACACAAGATACGACACGACTTGACAGTGCTGTCTGTACCACCACATGGCTCCCGTGAGTTTCGCTCATCATTTTGACCAAACCAGATACCTCCTCCAGCTTCAAAGTCTTTGTGTTTGTCAAATTGGTGAGTTCCGATTATACATACCCTGATGGGGGGTATATTCCATTTACTGATGCAAGAATTTATCCTGCAGGAGAATTGCTTTGGGGTTTGGGGGATGGGACGCTCGGGTTGAAGTGTACCAGTTCGTGTTTTTTTTACTGCCCTTTTCATTAACGGTGATCTGTTTTGGCGTTGGGTTTAGGTTGAATACCTGCAGCTTGATATAGCATACGAGACGAACCCATACGATGCCATTATAATTTTTTTTTTTTTCATTTGCTAGGAATATATCTCATGTGGATCGCCTCTTTCATGCTGCAAACGACTTTCATGCTGTGAACGACTTTTGGGTCAATCGCACTTGGCCACTGGTCACTTCTGGGGTTGGCCACCTCTGGGACCAGGTAGTTATTTCATTTTTGTGCTTGTGCGAACCTTACATTTTCTCGTAGTTTCGTCTGTATGTTGGACTCCTTGTCAATCCAGCGGTCTATTGTAAACCGACCAAAGACGAAGCGGATGACAATGATGACAATGACTGCGATAGCCCTTCTAATACTCAGATCAACGGAGAGGATACCTTTGGATTAGCTCCTTCCTTAAAGGATCCTGCTAGCTCAACTTACTCTGTTGAATTAGATGATCAGGATGATGATGAAGGTTTACAGGCACGCAAATCTGATCTGGAAGAACAACACGAGGAGAAGCTACACCTGCTCGCCACGGAACAATAGGTGTCCTTCTCAGCGTCCATCTTGGCAGATAATCAGGGAGTACTGAGATTCGGTGAGAGCACGACTTCCAATGCAGGCCATTATTTGATCGAGCACTTGAACAGAATAGTGGGTACCATTAAGACAATAGGCCGGGATCACAACAAGCCCCCAGAATGCTAGCTGGAAGATGAAGACAGGACCAGGGACTCAACTCCCCACCCCAACACGTCCTCTTTAATCACTACCACTCTTCTATTATAGCTTCATGTACTGACCGCTTCGGCAGTCGAGTACGCACTTCAGACTTCTATTCATGCGACAGATACCATCGGAGACCGTTATACTTGGAAACTGCCTCTGGATAGCCGTATCAGTTTTTCAGGCTAGACACTGACTACGGTACAATCTTTATTTGTGTATTGTACTCGTGACTCTTTACAATGCTCTCAGAACACCTCAAGACGTACTGATCTATCATCTGACGTCGTATTGTTACGATATTCTAACATTTAGTAGAGTCTGAAAAATATCAAGCATTAATTTAATGGCGAGAAAGTCTTGTGATACAGCTGGGTACGGTATCGGGGTTCTCCAACGATTGTCCTCACCGGGAAGGAGTGAGGATGGTGATATCAAAGCTCTTCATCATGGGCCCATACTTAGGCTTCCCGCCATACATATTCTTCACCTGCCTCTCCCCCTCCCTTGGATCGCAAATGTCAATACAAACCGACGCAGAATGTGGAGTACGTACCATTTATTCACCACTGATTGCCTCAATCTAATCACTCAACAGCATATCTCCTTTTCCTCCTCCCCCTTCGTTTGGAACCGACAATAACGCTAGTATGAATTAGTAGAAGTCGACCTAAGATGTGTAAGTTACTCACAGGTCTTTGTTTACCCATAGCTCAAGTTATTCTTTCATAAATGTAGGAAGGAGATACAGCAAAACGGTGAATATTCCACAAATGGCAGTTGGACCGTCGTACTCTGATACAATTCACAGCCACCCCACCACACACGTCATGAGCGGCATCACAGATGAAGCCATGACCTTCAAGAAGCCCTTCCAGACCGTCGTCCGGCCGCCCACCACCAATGAAAATATTCATAACGACTATATAAAACATCCCAGAAGTATGCAGTTGTGACATCATTCACGTCAGGAGCTATATCTAACTGCAAGTGTCACTCATATGTAGAACGTTTCCCTGGTGCTCATGGAATCTGTAGATTTGGCAAGAAAGAGGGCGCGCATTCAGAGAGTGAAGGGACAAGGCCAAAGCAGGCAGATGTTTCAAGGTGGGTTCTGTTTGCAAATTCTCGCCGTTGTATCAGTGATTCCGAACAGCATAGACGCGTATCTTGTGTTTTTGGGAGGCTGAAGCACGCAGTTAGCTGACGTTTGCATGGTTCTTAATTCTTCTGCTTACATGATCGCAGACAAACAAGTCGTCGTACATGTTCCAGTATTTCCTCAAAGTCATATCAACACAATTACGCACACTGGAAGGCAAAACTGTGAGTACATGAATCAAACTGGCCGCACAACTTGATTGCTTCAATAATGCAGATCATCACACACCAATATAGTTCAACGCAATTTGAACGTGATCTGATGCAGTTCAATGAACAAGCAAGGCGTGTTTACTCAACACGGCGTCGCGGGCGCACCAGGTACGTTGAAGAGCATGGATCATCAATTGATCTTTTAATACATTTTTTTTTCAGGTGCATACTTCAACTTTGAAATTTCACCCATCCTTGTCGTGCACTCTGAAACGAGGCAGTCATTTGATCACTTCCTCACTTCGTAAGTGACATTATACCCACTCACATATCTCTTATTCACTCTACCTATATAGTACTTGTGCTATCATCGGAGGTGTTCTTACCGTGGCTGCCCTGCTGGACAGTATTCTATTTGCCACTGGACGCAAGTTGACGCGCTGCGATACTTCATCATGACCCATCATCTACCAAATAACATCACCCCTGACATGGTCATGCAGCTACCAGGAGATCTCAAGGACCGTCAGACACCTCTTGGCGAGCTCAACTGGATTTTCACCGCCATAACAGACACCATTGCATGGACCACATTCCCTCGGGATGTGTTCACACGGCTGTACCGCTTCTTTACCGATCAGCTCACTGTGTTCGAGGTGTGGATTTCATGCGGTGGTTCTGCACTAACAAAGCGTGGTCCTCTGTCACTACCTCTCCAGAACGGCGGGGATCGCTGTGACACGCCTGACGTTGTAAATGGAACCACTGCCCCTGATGCTGATCTTGTCCCACGTAAACCCCCCGATCAGCTCCCCATTGTCCTGCAAGTGCTGCTCTCGCAGCCCCATAGACTTCGGGCCCTGATTCTTCTTTCCCAATTTGTAGACCTCGGACCTTGGGCCGTCAACCTTGTGCTCACCATTGGAATCTTCCCATATGTATCTAAGCTCCTGCAAGCCGCAGGCCAGGATCTGCGTCTGGTGTTGATCTTCATATGGACATGCATCCTTGCAGTAGATCCAAGTGTTCAAGTCGACCTATACAATACCGGGGGATTCAAGTACTTTGCGAATGTGCTGGCGACGCAGGAAGACAACGAGCTGCCTAACAGCAGTGAACACAAGGCTATGTGCGCATTCATTCTCAGTGCCGTTGCAAGAGACTTCTCCTTGTGCTAGATTGGAAACAATCGGGTGGCACGCTGCTGGTTGGGGGCGACTCTCGTATCATCTGTGTATGGGATGCCCACATGGAGACTCAAGTCCTGGTAAGAGGGCAATACCTCGTAGTGAGGACTAATTACTCATGACTTCAAAGGATCTAGAAACTAATTGCGAGAGTCCTGTGACATCTATCACATCTGATCAGGGCTCGTCATCCACATTCATTATTGGCTTTGCCGATGGCCTGGTCAAAATTTTCGATTGTCGACTAGAGGAAGAGGACGCTATTGTTAGATCGTATCATGACCATCACTCATGGGTACAGAATGTCAAATACCACCCACGCATCAGCGGTCAGTTCTTGTCTGGAAGGTGAGCTGAAGCCATATAATGTGTGTACTGGGATTCACATAAATGCAGCCTCGCTGGCAAAGTCCGTCTGTGGGATTTGAGAGGCTCTGATACAGTGATTCAGGCTTGGGACTTACACCATACGGGCTTGTCTGCGTTCGATGTACATTCACAGACGGGCGTGTTTGCCACGTAAGTGCGACTCTGTTTTAGGAAAAATGGTTGGCTGACTAGGTTGCAGAACATCTGCTCTTACTCTTGCCAACTTTAGGCACCAGCGTCTTATGGTACACTCTATATCAGATTCATTGTTACTCTCCACGCTTAGCCTACTACCAACTGGCCTCAACGCATATCTCTCTCGACCTCCGACGCCTTATATCCTTAGGCATACGTCTTTCGCATTCCACCCAATGGAGATGTTGTACGCTATTGGGCAGCCTGATGGTTCTGGTGTGTTGCACGTGTTACTTCACATGAGTCAAACCGCTAATCACTCCTTGAATATCTAGTTAAGATCACTGGATGCAAACTCACCTAGAGAATGTACATTCATGAATACCCGCACATCACCATCATCAAATTATATGGTGGCTGTGTCCATTTTCCTCATTTAAACTGCTTTCTGTAAGCCCGCTGGACTTGCGAACACTTTTTCTTTTTGCAACGTCCTTATATCTCAGCTCAACTAACTCATAATCAGATCTTTTTGTAAACTACTATGTCCTGATGTATCCCAAAATGATCGAAGCAAATCAGTCTGTCCGATAACGAGTAAGGTGGTGGTGGCGGGAACGTGAAGCTCATGTGAAACCATGTACCATAGCAAAATATTCAACTCGAGCACGTTCCTTGAATATTCATCACGTCTTGGCATAACTTCATTGCCGGCTGGAGATCCGTGAGCTCTGTGCGTACGTCAACAGGAAAGTTTGCGTCGCTTGTATACTTCGCTACAATGTTGTTGAGCAACTATCATAATCGTAGTTTCTGCAACTTGTATACAATTTAAATAAAATGCATCCCGTTATCTAAAAAATGTCACGATGTATTATAAGTTTACTGGAAATCTGAAAAGGCCATACAGGTAATTACAAGCGGTCGTCATGATTGCAACTTTCGCAGCTTCTATGCAATTTAGATAACCCATGTCTCACTATTTAAAAAATGTCACCACATTATATATCCACTGGAAATGTCATGATAGCCAGACAGGTAATTGCGAGTGGACCGTCATAATTCTAGTTTTTGCAGCTTGTATACAACTTAGATAAGACATATCTCATTATTTAAAAAATGTCACAACACATTATAAGGTTACTGGAAATGCAAAAGGACCAGACATGTAGTCACAAATGGGCTGTCATAATTGTAGCTTTTGCGGCTTGTATTCAATTTAGATAAGACATATCTGACAATTTAAAAAAGGTTACAGTGCATTATCTATCTACTGTAAATGTGATGACATGCAGTCATTCAATTACAGTGCATGGGTGCGCAGTTATCTCCCTGTTGTCTGTTTCCAAGACACACATCAAGTTGATGTTTCTTTTGCATAGTCATATCTTACTTTACCTATGCGTAGGACCATGATAAAAATATCCAAGGTTAAAAAATGACGTGCAATAATTACCAATCCTGTCTGGTCATATCAACTCAAGGTTAATTTCCTGATGTGGCGGTCAACAGGATTTCCCTCTCCCTCCTGTTGATTGATATTTTTGGTTTATGCCTCCGTTTGTTCTGGAGAACATCAAGCAGGACATTTTTCAAATACGATTTGTGGACTCATAATAAGGGTCAGACACGATAGATAGTAAATAGTTCTCATTCTTAATGTAGAAGTGATATCCGAGCTATGATCGCCAGCCATCCGTGCCGTTCATCCGTGTATCTTGTGTTCCGCATGGCATTGAGAGAGCTTAATTAATAAGCTCATTTGGTGTTTCGACGTATATTTCGAGGACACGTACAAAAGTTTTCGTTGTAGTATTTAGTCAACATACACGCTTTAATCCAATATTCTGAACATCTCTACTGGCACTAGTCTATATGAACACTACTTATACATCCACCGCTGAAACATAGATATCGGCATCATGTTCCTTCCTCTCCGATATAGAACCTTTGTCCTCGTTTTCACCTCTGATGGCCAGCGTATAGTTAGATATGGGTCCAGTGTACCAATGTACGCCTCCGTACACCGGAAGATAATACCAGGAAATCGCTAGAAACATGAAGCCTCCAAGTACCACGACTGTATAGTTCATCTCCTGTGCCGTTGTTTGCGGGGTCGCGGGAAAGAAGAAAACAAATATCATGAAGACCATCCATACCACAGCAATCACAGAGACTGGAAAGCTCTGCAGAGGCATGTTAGTTCAAGAATTCATTGCGTCGATTAACCCACCAGTTTTCCCAGATAAAACGGACCGGGTTTAAAATCATTCTGGAACACAAAGCGGTTCGTGATCGGCGTTATGTAGGCGATATACGACGCAGTGATATCAATTGTGAATACCGCACCGATGGCTTGAGTGCTCACGAACGACAAAAGTCCGATTGCCAGAGAGCAGATGATCACGAACCAAACTGTGTTAACGGGTGTTCCTGTGTAGCGATTGATCCGGTACAAATACCGTGAAAAAGGCAGGGCTCCATCACGAGCAAATGCAAACGTTTGGCGAGAGCCAACCAGGAGGCAGTTCGATGCCATCATGTACCTGCTCTATGGTTAGACTGGGAATACGCTACGCAGCACTAAAACGTACTCTGCTATAATAACGAGACACCATAGAGCCAGGGCCTTTTGCTGCCCGAGCGAATTGAATAGGATTTGTGCCATAGGCTGACCAATAGGGCTATTGAAGACGCTGCCGACATCAGTGCCCATGCAGAATGCAAGGGAGATATTGACTCCTAGATTATAATGTGTCATCAAGATCAGAATGGCATATCATTCATTTTACATACCGCAGCCAAGGACGGCTGATACGGCAATAGAACCGACCTGACTGGGATAAATACAACAACTGGTCATTTCTAGTGTCACTTACTATTGCCCATGGTATCGCCATAGCGGCATTTGAGGCCTCCTCGCTCATGTGAACGCTAGCATCATAACCCCCTGGTGGGTCAAAGATGGTCATAGAGCAATGATTCGAGAGAATATGGTCTAACCTATTGTATACAGAGGAGCCATTAAGCTCAAAATAAATGCGAATCCGGAGGGCCAGCCGGCCACTACAACTAATTGTGAGCTACGAGCGTAATTTGAAGATGAAACATACAGTTAGTGAAATCCCCTAGCGCAAAATTCGCGCTGTTTCGATAATCCGGTGGCGTTGCGACCGGAAGCGCGATGATGATTATGAAGCAAAGGCTATTGGAGGATTTGAAATAATGATCGTGGACAAACTCTACAACACCTACCATGCATTCACCAATGTGAATAGTCTCTGCAACCTTGCCAAAACTTTGGTACCGAAGCTCACAAGGACAGCTTGCGACAAACACAAAGCTGCGTATATACCACTATAACAACCAATATGAAGAGTGTTGTGTCTGTATGGGAATGAGCTTACTAGAGCTGTTGGTTGGTAGTCGTATATGTCTGGTCAGAGGAGGCAATACTAATTGCTGCAGTAATTTGAATTGCACAGGCCCAGTTTACGGAAGCTAGCATGCGTGATCAGGGGGAGACTGTTGAAAAAATGAAACCCGTCTTACCAACTCCCGTGATCATCTCTATGGTGTTCGAATCTGCAGATATCAGGACTGGCTGCATGTCGCATCAAAATGCAGCACTCACAGCCAACTATCCATGACAGAAAATTGCGGCATCGTGGAGAAGCGAGAGAGTAAGTCCAATAGTATAGCTAGATTATGTTGAGTCAAGTGTGAAACAGCGACAGCGTCAATGACATATGCTGCCAGAAGTAGGTGCTGCTGATGCGAGCTCTGCCAACGCCAACCCGGTGCACATAATAAAGGGGCAAGCAAATACCCACTGTGCAGAGGAAGCGTGAGACGTTACAAAACAGCAATCTCCACATGTGATGAAAACTTACACCCCAAACCATCACGACAGGCCCACCGTTTGGTATTGCATAGAAGAGCACGGAGCTGAACAATTTTTCGTCATTGATATACAATTTTGATTGGCTTGCGCCATAGTGACAGCTTACGCTATAGAAGGAACCACTCCAACAAAGCTGAATGCAAGTCCAGCCACCTGCAATTGTTAGCTTGTGTCGCGTACATAAAAGAGTCTGGTATCAAGCTCACCTCTAGCGGAGTGAATTCCCTGCAAAATTCCTGCTTATATCCTAGCTTAGCGAGAGTCGCCTCATCTGCACTTGCTTGCGGGTGCAACTTCGAAATCGCTGAAGCTCTCGGAGCTGCCATATTGCACTGTTGCAAGTGGGTGATTTTGGATGAGTCTGATTTATGGCATTGGCCACGCAGTATAAAAGAGATTGATAGTCGACCGCGAATCACCAGGAAGCACTCTCAGTATCCACCTTAGGTGACCATAACGACCGAGACGTTCTGATCCCATACTGACTTACAATCGAACTGCAGACACCAGCCTGTCTGAATCTGACGTGCATGGTCAATCAGGGTCGAACAAAGAGAACGCTAGGTCAACGTGCAGTCATGGGCCTCATGCGGGACAGGCGTGGTACAGGTAACAGCAGCCCACCGTAATCTTTACATACCTCTGCTGTCAGCAGAATACTAAGTGTTCTAGTTCTTGACTGTTTTGCGCACTTGAACTTCTCAGGCTTGCATAGCTTTCGCAGACGGTCGTGGCCGTGTTTAGGTACCATGAGACAGTAAAATATGTCTTTGCTGGCTCTGAGTCATGGTGAATGGGTTCCGTGCTATGTCGAGTCACCGAGAGTTAGGGGATGAACGCGTGATTTGAAGTTTTAGCAGTGAACATTGTGTTTTTTTGGCCGCATCAGTAACATGTCAAAGTCACGTCGGGCCAGGTGAAATTGACGCGGCCCTGCCGCGCCTGCCGTGGTCGTGACGCGCCTGTGATGCGGCACTGACGCGGCATATGTGATGCAGCACTGTAACAAATTCCTATGTACAGATCATGTTTACACAACTTCATATCGCATTCCAAACACTTTGAATCATCGTTAATGATCAACATATGAGTGTCTGCCTGCGTACAGGCTCTATAGTGCTGTATTTACCTCTCACCAAATTTACAGTGCTTGTCCTCTGCGTTCATACTACTAGTATGCATCTTGCGCGTGACGCAGCACGTCAGTCTTATATGTTGCATTATCTCTAATTCGTTCATCTATGTTGGTTTTCAGATGCAGTGTCAAATGTTGTCTCACTGTGTCAAGCTTCGACCTCACCCTGCCAAGTTTGATCCACTCTCTATACCCTGCACCACCACGTCAAGCCCCAACCATGACATGTCAGAAGCCTCATTTAGGCTGCGTCAAGCACTACTCACACCACGGCAAGTTCTCCCAAATATCTTCGCAGTCTCTGTATTAATATCAACATCTACACTCTATGCCGCGTCAAGGCCTACTACAGTGCTGCGTCACATGCGCGTCAGTGCTGCGTCAGTTGCCGCGTCAAACCTCCTCCATGCCGCGTCAGTGCCGCATCAAACCTCGTCACTGCCACGTCACCCGCACGTCACGCCGCATCAAACTTCATGCCGCGTCACAAGTAGCACATGCCGCGTCAGACCTCATCACCTCCACATGCCGCGTCAAACCTCACCACCTCAACTGTCACACTGTCCATATAACTTAGGTATATTTTACTTTACATCTGTCATAATAACTGGTATTCTGACAGTGTTCCTTTTCATCCTGACAGAATTAGATGTCGTACACTGTAATTGTCCATAGACAATAATAAATTTATTTTACTACACATCGAAGCTCGAAATGAAGAATGGAACGATGACATGCTGTTGAACATGGCTTGGGCTGATCTCATGATAAGCTATCCTACCAATAGCTTCGTGGCTGACGTCGACCTCGAGTGTCTGACCGCACTAGAAGCAAGGATGTTCAAGGATTCCGAAGAAGCAGGACCTGCAGGCAACCAGCAGTGGGGTTTGGATGGTGGCCAACATTACAGGCGATGGAATGTGTATCTCAGAATTCCTGATGAATGGGTTTCTGCAAGAGATTATAGCGAGAGTGAACTTGAAGTGAGGAAGACATTACCTGCTCCGTTCGATAGATATGATATCTAACTTATGTGATTGACAGCGCGGCCCCTTATTCAGTGATAACTCTGATGCTACATCTTTGGGGTCTGCAGACGAGCTATCCGAAGCTGTAGTTCCTTCTCTGCCGGCCGAAGAATGTCCGCCCATTAAACGTCGATGTGCTCCACAGGCTCGAAGGGTCCAGAGAGGGAGGAAGAGAAAATAGTCATTGGCTTATGTATACCTAGTTGTACATGGCTCTGAGGCAAATAAAATAACAAAAGAATGGTCGTGAACTCATCCAACTTGATCTGGAAGTTGAATATAGAATATAGGAATGGCGCGTCAGTGGCCGCGTCAAGGATCGTCAGTGCCGCCTCAAGGCTCGTCAGTGCCGCGTCACGGCCGCGTCACGACCGCGGCAGGCGCGGCAGGACCGCGTCAAAATAGCTACGCCCAGTCACGTCACATCAGTAAATTCATTCCTTGATTGTCAGTCTATTACGGAACGAGGCACGAGCGAAGGACTAGACATTTGCCCAGTCGTTTTACCTATACATCTGACCTGCGATTATGCTGATATGGTCTGAATTTTGTCACTTCATTGCACAATGTTTTCTGTTTTCTGATCCGAAGGTCAAGATTTCGTTCGACGTTCGTTGATTTGGTTTCCTAACTTTGATTAGTTGACAAGCTATAGTTGACTCACCTCGAGTCGTTTAGCTCAATGCTGGGTGTATCTATATATCTGGACATCGACTTGGGACGCCTATGGGTGGTTACGAATGCACATCTGAGTCGTCGACAACAATAGCAAGGTGGTCCAAGGGGACGGATACGCGATTTTCGTTACAATGTGGCAGATCTACATCAGTGAATTGATGACTCCTTGATATGGTGGCCATGGGAACTACAGAAGGCTAGAATTTTGCCCCTGCTAAATATCATCATCTATACCGTAAAAGATTTGAGTCGTACATACATTGCCATCGATCAAACGAATCCAGAGTAACATGAGCACTCCATGACAAAGTTGTGACGTTCCTCCACCACAGCCGATGCAGGTTAATTGCGTACTTGTACCAATTATTTTGAACATTGTCGTTTTGCTTCATTTATGTTTTAAATTACAACCTTATCTAATACATTCTGGTGGTAAGTACCTTTGGCACCAGCCGGCATGTGTCTAATTCCCTGCGATTTCACAACAAATCCATCCCATGGCGCCGTGAAAACCAGTAGGGGACAACCAATACTTCACTCAATACTTTATACGTTATCAGGAGATTTCAGGTTAATCTCGTGACTTTGACGTTACGATGCAGGACTTCACTTTGACAGTTTTCTCTCTCATGTATTGTTATTTTGCGTTTGAAGTAACGTTCAAAAGATTCAAAAGGCAGGTGAGTTGTGCTTACATTCAGACCGACACCACATGCTTTTAAGCTGACAAAACGGTACCACGACAGGCGTTCGAGAGATAAGCGAAAGGAAGAACGTAAACTGCGAGAAGACGACAGCACGGAAGTATGATTCGGCCAAATATATGTATACGAGCAAAAGAAACAATTGTAATCATAGAAAAAGCAAAACTTCGTGAAGAATCACAGCAAATACTAGATGACGGCAACAGGAAGTTAGCAGCAGCGATAGATAAAGGCAAAGGGGGACGTACAGCTGTATGCTAGACTATGTCACATTGCGGGCAGGAACAATATATCCATAGACCAATTTCTTCGGGTTTTGAAGAGTGAACTTGCGACATCCCTTCTTAGCACGGTCCTTGCTTTCAAGGAGCGGTCCACATGTCGCTTGGTGCCGATACGAAGAATCTGATCTCGAATGCCGCCCTCCGCAATAGGGGCATTCGTAAGACGTAGTATAGTGGACGCTCTCAATGTGACGGCCCAAACTGAGCATTGCCTCTGATCTTGAGCAATCCTCGAATTTGCAGACAGCCGTGTCTGTGGGTTGTACACCGTGCCAGTGCAACAGGTGATATGCGATGCGGGCCTGGTCCATTTCTACAAACAGCCCGCAGGGCTGGTTCGTCCAACCGCATGCTCGTACGCAAGTCATCCCTGCGGGTAGTTCGGTCCTAATAGTGACGGAGCGCTTAGCGTAGGAATCGTCGAGTTCCATCACCCCGAATGTCCTTGTTCGAAGAACATTACCATGGAAATCATGAGTCCTGCGGCTGCTGGTATCTACCGGCTTTGGGTCGTGAACGGGCATAGACATGATCACGGCAGTGGCGTCCGCTAGTCTGTAAAAACCAAACTTCCCCTCTCTGATTTCTTCATCGTCATCATCCAAGCATCTGCATTTGCGAGTGGTTAACGCGGAAGATGAATTGGAACTATCTTCCTCGGATTCAGCGGTATGGCGATTGCCTCCGACCACCTGCAATGCCGCTGAAGACCTGGAAAAAAATAAATGAGAAATAGTTGGCACTCGGTTGGTGGCACGTACCACTGATGCGCCTTTAGGTATTCATATTCAGCACAGGCCTGAGCCCATCTGCCAAAAGACGTTAGTTCGGGTAGATTTTTTAAAGTGAAAACACATACTCAGCCTGCATGGCGGCTACATCATTGGGATGAGCAAACTCTTGGACGTTTTCCAAGACCATGTTGGTATTGGCTTCGGGTTCGATTCTGGGTTCAGGATACGGAAGGATAGACTGACTAAGAAACATTAGTTCGGGTAGATGTTTTGAAGTAGAAATACATACTCGGCCTGCATGGCGGCTACATCATTGGGATGAGCAAAGTCTTGGACATTTTCTAAGACCATGTTGGCATTGGCTTCGGGTTCGATTCTGGGTTCAGGATACGGAAGGATAGAGCTAAGAAATCATAAGGTGAACCGCGTCATCCGACTCGAGAGTGAACACCAACCTATCCAACGACATCTGAAGATTGTGGTATGAGGCACTAAATGCGGGAGGCATCATCAACATATGGATATACTGAGTCGACATGTGAGTAGACGTACCTAGACATATCAATGATTTGGACAAGTAATATCAAATGATGAAGATGAAGTAGGAAAGGAAAGAGGAGATGAGATACGATAGCTAGGTTTAACGTGTGAAAAGGGATATGAGTTGAGAGGAGAGGATAGTGATATCAAATGACGAAGATGAAGTAGCAAAGGAAAGAGGAGATGAGATATGATAGCTAGGTTCAACATGCGAAATAGTTTTCACCGTAGACTATATCTTCCTGCAATAATAAAAAATTAGAACGAATTTAAACCAACTAGACGAGTGATTGCCTACCTGGGCTTCATCGTTGTCCATCGCAATATCGTCTCCCCATGCTTTGTCGATGTCCATCGGGTCGTCTTCAAGTACATCAATTCGAATAATATCTCCCTACAGTCGTGAATATCAGATAAATTAGAAGCGTGGCAAGATGAAAATGAACTAACTAGACTTAGATCATCTGCGTCGATGTCCATCAGATGGATATCTTCAAGTACACGATTTTGAAGTATATTTCCCTGCAGTCGTGAATATCAGAACGAAGTAGACTTGCGGTAAGATAGAAGCGAACTTACTGGACTTGGATGACCATCTCCGGCTTGATCAATGTTCATACTGGTATGTTCTGAGTCTATTTTGACATCCATTGTGCGTCGTTGTTTGATTGAGTGCGCGACGGTGAACTAGTATGTTGTGTGATATATGACTGTCACAGTCACTTCATTTGACTGTGGCAAACGACGGCAATACCCTTAAAGTTCTCGTGCTTGTCCATGGCGAAAATGTAACACTTGCGATTGAAGCTGTCGATTTCGGAGATGTCCCGACTATCCTGTGCTCTCGGTCAAAATCTGCTCCCAGACAGCACATGCGAGAAACAGCCTAAAACAAATTCAGATCTCGAAAAAAATGCACGGAGACCACACCTGTATCTTGGCAGCAACACGTAAGGGGAACACTCTATTTTCCATCTGAATAACTTCGAACATGAGGGGAACACTATCGCGCGAGGATTACCTCATATAATCATCATAGGGGTAACACAAATTTTCACTTTCGGTTGATCTAATTGTCTCCGGGAGTGTTCGATGATATCAATGCCATCACCGTCACGATCGGCTTTATCTGTAGAGGAGGGAGAAGTAAAAATGGCCTTGGAGCCCTGCAACGTAATGAGGTATAAATCAACTATAAAGATTAGACCGCTCACCATGATTAACAGCTTCGGCTTCTCGAGACCGTGCTCCAGATTACCGGGTAAGCTACATGGTTTTGATACATAAACGATAAACGGACCTTACGAATTCTAGCAGACAGAGTAAAGATGGCCTTGGAGCCCCGCAACGTAATGAGGTATAAATCAACTATAAAGATTAGACTGCTCACCATAATTAACAGCTTCGGCTTCTCGAGACCGTGCTCCAAATTACCGGGTAAGTTACATGGTTTTGATACATAAACGATAAACGGACCTTACGAATTCTAGCAGACAGTGAAAGTATTTGTGCGGTCGTGGATGCAAGCCCTGACACGGACCAAATACCAATATCATGCAAGTCATAAGAACCATCAAGACCATAACTTGCGCTGGGTTCTCTAAGAATCATGACGCCCAACAGAGCACTTGTCACTGATCTCGATAAGCAGGGTCGCGAAACTCAGCCACGAAGCCATTGGCAGCTTTGCTGTTATGCTCACAGTCAATGAGGAGATGGATGTCCTCTTCCTCCTTGAGTTTTCGAAGGAGGTTCTTCAAAGCTTTCCGAGGTTCTTCATCCTACCCCCCACGGGTGTAAATGTCTGCGATCAGCGCAAGGCGTTCCTCTCCCGACAAAGAATCGTAAAGATCAATTAGCATCTTGCGATATGCCTGCCTGGGGGCATTCAATTCAAAGGAGTCGACCATGAAAATGCCAGTAGAGAATTGATTCAATGCCCACGCAAATAGTGTACATTTGAGCGTCAGCAGGGCTCGTACGTTTCTTGCGGGACCACCTGTATAGCGCTGATACGATGTGATTGATAGACGGGAGTTCATCTCACGACTCTCTGAGTCGTGGGCAAGGTTTGAGGTTCGTGCGCCTCTGTGCATTCAACTCCCTGCGATAAAGAATCTGTCTTACTGTGAGGCGTGCAGAATTACAGCTTGAGAAGTCTTACCTGAACTCAAATCCAGGAGATCATGATGGCCAATACAGCCACACCGTGCGCAAGGGACGACATTACTACCTTCCGACTAAAGTTGAAGTTTGTTGCTCATCGATGGATCCGGTGTGCCATGTCTGGTTCTTCCCACACTGGGCTGGGCAAGGTTTGAAGTTCTTGCGCCTCCGTGCATCAACTCCCTGCGATAAAGAATCTGTCTTACTGTGAGGCGAGCAGAATTACAGCTTGAGAAGTCTTACCTGAATTCAAATACAGGAGATCATGATGGCCAATACAGCCACGCCGTGCGCAAGGGACATTACTACCTTCCGACTATAAGTTGAAGTTTGTTGCTCATCGATGTCGGATCCGGTGTGCCATGTCTGAGTCTTCCCACACTCGAGCTCAGGCACGTGTGTACCATACATTTTCTGTACTAATCAGCAAACCACGAATTTTCCCACAGATCTAACACCCAACAGAATGAGTTTTGAAGCTGAAATGAAGTTTGATTCGAGAAAAACTAAAGACAGTATGGTTTAATGGTAAATCTATGTTGAAGTTGTTACTGAGATTTGCCAAGTCTCAAGTTCTATCACTGTCATTGACACATTAAAAACGTCGATTTTTTGTTCTATTTAACTTGTGTCTGGGTCGCTATCTGAATCTGGTCACCAGATAGCTTACCTGATGCTGGCCTGGATGTTCTAAAATCAAGTCAAACGGGTCGCTCTGCACTTTTACTGATGTAACGCAACAGAGAATCAATTGGAGAGTAAGATTGGTGCGCTAGCAAAGAACATATTATATCAGATCGACGTGACATGTCGGAAAAATATTTCCTATCTCAAAATGAGAGGTCATCAGGCTCATCCGAGTCATCAAACTCCTCTGCGTCTTCCTCAGGCTCTCCTTCATCTTCCTCTCCTTCGTCTTCCTCTCCTTCGTCTCCCTCTCCTTCGTCTCCCTCTCCTTCGTCTCCCTCTCCTTCGTCTCCCTCTCCTTCGTCTCCCTCTCCTTCAAGGCCATCATCGACGTCCATAGCTTCCAATGCCAGTGCAGCTGCCTCGAGATCAAAACAGTCTCTTACAATATTCCGCAAGGCCACCGGGTGTCCTACACCTAGGGAAGTATAATGCAGGAACATATCCCGATCGACAAAACTAGCTCGAACAGGTAAGAGACATTAAGCAGGAAGAAGACACATTACACTCACATTCCGACGTAATATGCTTCCCAGTCAGTCAATTCCTCTTTGGGACACCCCAATGATTTCCCGTAGCGAAGTGAACTTACACCGCGCCCTGACGCGAAGGCAGGAATCAGGTGAGCTCCGTGAATCACTTGGTTTGGATTAAGAAATCCAAATGCATCGTGGTCTGATTCCTCCACAAAGGCCAATTTGGGAAGGCGAGCGTGCTGTATGCCCGACTCGTAGTCCGAAGATATTAATGGTGCAAGCCACCGAACGTACAGAACGTCGATGTGCTGTTTCTCGGTTCGACAAACCCCTTCGAGCCACATGTCCAGGTGATAGATACCTAGCACACGAGCATACCAGTATGGGTGACTCGGTGAGGTTTCTCCTGAAAGTACCATGACGTCTGCATGTGTCCTGGGGTTAACAGTATCGTATTCGCGCCTCATATCATAGGTAGTATAGTATATTTGCATTGTCTGGACCGAATAGATTGTGTTGTTAGGAATAATGAGCGAGTTTCGTTCCTCATCTGTGAACATGCGGTCACAATGAGTGACATCTAATTTCTTTAGCCTATACAAAAGGTGATCCTTAAGTTTCGGAATAAAGTCCTGAAAAACATCATAAGCGAATCAACGACCAGCTGGAAAGAAATCCTAGTTTTACCTTGGTAGCTGGGTCGCCGTCGTGCTCCCGGAGGAATGTGAACAAAGACACCGGATTTTTGCCATTGATCGCGATGAAATGATGGTCGTTGGACAATGACGAAGCATGAGTATCAGCCGGTGATTGTTGGTTTGAGGAGGAGATACCTGCTGCTTCTGCAGCTCGCCGTAGTACCCGATGTCTGTGTTTGTGCTTTGCTAGCTGTGCTGGAGTATCCACTTTGCTAGTTAGTGGATAAAACACTTTAAGGGCCCTATGGGCCAGCTCTCCCTAGCCAATAAAGTCACTTTCGAAGTATCCTTGAGGATAGGAGATGATGCTTACAATCTGGGTGGTGAATGAATCCGTAGTACCGAAGAGTTTGATGGTTCGCAGGTAATCTCCCATTGCGTGGAATTTGTAGGTGCTCAAATTGAATATTTTCACCCTTGGTATGCTAGATTCTGAAGAGATACCATTAGGTCCAGCACGCTGGGCGACCCTTCGTTGGCGAGCCGCCTTCTCTTTCGGCAATTCCACAGTGTCGAATACAGCGCAGGTAAAGTCACGGAACTTTCGCAACTGCCTTGAGAGCTTCTTGAACGTGTCCTCGAAAAAAGAGAGTGTTGATTCTGAATGAATTCTTAACTTTGCGAGTGCGTGTCACTGAGCGAATCTAAACAACAGAGACTGCACTACCATGTCATGGCTAGCGGGAAACAGGCCTTCAAAGACAGGTATTGCACACTGAAGAGAGGCCGTCAGCGAACTAGGTATAAGTAGTCGAGTAAAGCAGTAGGCACCTGCAAGATGTCTTCAAAATCTCGTGCCGCGAGTCTCTTCATTTCGGACATGTTATTAGCAAACATTCTGATTACCCCATTGCCGAAAGTTGGGATCTGCCGAAATCTATGATGGGATAGAGTTTGCCTTGTTAAGAGACACCGAGAGGCAATCTGCAAACTCCACTTACCTTGAGTCTACGATTGCGACCAGCTGATTTCCATTCGGAAGTGCATACAGAATCCTAATGAGGTGAGTGAATAATGCCTTCCAAGTACCTAACTCGCACTCGTGCATCAAGTCGACAACGAGCATCTGAAATGGGTTAAGGCCCAGTGCCCCTAGCCTCTCGACAAATTTATTCTGAAAAAAAAATAAGTAACTCGTGTGAGCCGGCACGAAAGCCAGACAATTCACACTTACTAGGATAGGTGCCCAAGAGCCCCCGCCGAGCGTTTCTTCGACCTTCTTACCATCCACAGTATTTCCCCCTCGATAAATAAATTCTCGTGCCCTGACAACGTTAGTCGTGACGTAGACTCGAAGATTGGATATCCGGCTCCGCATGTCCTTGAGGAGACCAAGAGAAGTAAACATGCTCTTCGGTGTGAGACAACGAGGACACGGGCACGAGCCCATGTCCTTGATAGTAGCAATTAAAACCCTGCGACTTGTCAAATAGTTAGTTCATCAGTTACAGACAGAACGCACTTTTTGGGGTAATCGGCCGAGTATGTGAATATTCGAGGAAATATCCTACGCAACACACCGTCAGCACATTTCAATACAATACCATGGTGGTATGCATGAAGAAAGCCTTCGTCTAGTAAGATGTCCCAGCATCCATGAAATAATTCGCGTCTGCAGTGGGTGTATAGAGCAGCCATGCCGCTCTTGGATATACGCGGCAAAGCGCTGAAAACATCTTTAATCTTATCAGGTAGCTGATAGACAATATTTTCAATATCGATACTCAAGAGCAAAGTAGGAGAACTCGCCGAAGGTAGAAATCCGACAATGTGACATGCGCCAGACTTTGGAGCAGAGCGAGCATACTTCGTGAGGTTTCCAAAGTACATATAGAGAGGCCAGGCCTTCGCCGTTCCGAAATTTGCTAAGTGCGTAGCATCCGAAAAAAACATGAGACCAGCAATCACCCGTTCTAGTGCACATCCGGGCTCTCTTGGGAGCTTTTGCAGTTCATCTTGGGCATCCAGCCAAGAGTCAGAGGTATACAGCTCGTCGAAGATTCGCTCTTGATGGCCGTCTAATGGATCCTTCCACAGACGCTTGAATGGCGAAAGATGAAACGCACTCGCCTGGATATCAGAGAAAGCAGACCGAATTACGTCGATGAGGGGGCAAAAATGAAACCCTGGAACAGAAAAAAGTCGCTCATCCTCCTCCTTCGATTTTGTAGGAATTTTGATGGTGATAGTGGTATGGTTCCAGTCATCTGGAAACTCGACCTTGCTCCCGCTGTGAACGTTGTCCAATTTCCGTAAACTTCCCCTCACTGAGAAGTTCTCCAGGTGCTTTGCGTCAAAGTCCTCCGCTAGCATCACTTCCTTGACGAGACGGGCGACTTCAAGCTCGGATTTCTTATTGCTGCCAGAATTCATCCACGACATGAGTCGATAGATCGTCATGTTATGAAAAGGGTATGGAGGTGGGAGGGTGTCTGAATCAGCCTCTTGCGCGGCTGTTGGACATGTGGTCGAAAGTAGCGAGGACGATACAAATTTATCCGGCTCAAACGATGGGCGACGGGGGTACAGTCAGCAAATTCCAAGAGAATTGAAGGGCGTTTGGAGGGCGTCACGTAATGTTAATAGGACTCTCTGGATTCTAGACTGAGGCAAGGCTGGATTTAGAATAGGCGAAGTATCAACATCATACGAGCTATTGGTGTCGTCCTCGGGAAGAGGAACATCCTGAAAATCTCTTGGTATTCGTCTCTGAGGGCGCGGAGGGTCTTCTGATGAGCGAAATGCAGAATGAGTGAGCTATTAGTTGACCATCTCAGCGGGTGACTCAAACAGGACACACCCAAAGCAGAATCAGCCTCGAATGCATTTGAGTCAAGCCTATCATCATTATCAGCACTAGACTGCTGCTCTGCGCCGGTACCGTTGTAGAAACAACAATACAATGAGGAACAAAAGAAGCTCCTGACTGTATCTGTAAAAGTTGTAAGGTCGCGCGCTGCCTAGTCTGCGTTACTTGAGAAGCAAGTGCGTTCGACCCTATAGGGGAAGTGAGTGCAGCAAGGATCTAGAAGTGTGCGCTTAAGCGAAGCGCGAGAAAGCGCAGGTGCGCGCAAGGTACAAAGGCGCGGGAACGTGCGCGCGCGTATGCGGAAATGAGAAACTAAGCTTAAGTAGTGATATAAAGCAAGATAAGAGATATAAGAGTGCAAAATGTAAAGGAATAGCTTTCTACTATATTCTGCTAAGTAGTAAGTGGGTAGTAACTAGTAAGTGAAAAGTAGGAAAAGTAGGTCCAGTGTAGTATGTACTGCTGGCGCTTATATAGCGCGCCTAAGCGCACTCATGCGGAGCCGAAGCGCTACCGAGTAGGTATGTAAAAATATATATGAGTGAGAAACTATGATAAAAATAAAGGTGGAACTATGCTAATAAAGGAAATGGAAATATACATACTAGGGAGCTTGGTGGACAGTGGATGGATGCATCTGGATGGCTGGCGCTATAGGGCGCGCAAGCGCGGGAACGCGCGCGCGCGTATACATCGTGAAGCGCGGGAATGGTGCGCGCATGGCGCGCGTTGCGTGGGAAAGCTGCGCCTCATATAGAGATAGCTGCGGGTAGCGCACAGAGTAATGCTATGAGTTCATGCTGTATACTCCTTGGTGAAAACTACCATATCACGCCATGAGAGGCATGATTCTCTACACTGTGACTAATAGGTACTTTGCTAGCCAGTGTTTGATGCCTGCCAGTATTTGACCATAACGATGGGCACGGAACAACGGGTTTTGAGCGGGCTACTGACATACGATAAATAGGCGGTATTTTCTAGCAAGGTGCAGTAATCGTTGAGCTGTCAGAATTTCTCGTGGATAACTCTCTGAAGAGTGCTTACAGACTCAGAGTTTGAACTGGTTGAGCCCGACAGTCCCAGTGGTATCATCGCCAATCGTGCCAGACTCCCGGGAGATCTGGCTGCCTCCTTCACCCGCTCTTGTCTTTTCTGGCTGGCTAAGACACTGGAGCGGAGGTGGAATTTGCATGTTGCGCGATGCCTACTTAGGCCTCGGCTATGATTACTGCTGTTGCTCTGCCAGAGGCAGCCTGGAGCGTTGCAGGATGACATTAATAGATCAATGAAGAGAAAAAGAAGCACGACGCATAGAAGCTTTTTGCGCATTCAAGCCAGTGAAAACCCACTGTGAGTCTGAGAATGGCTGAGGTTGCGTGAAATTGTCTAGACTAGTAAGCGACGCAATCTGAACAGAGAAATGAGACTAATAGCACATGTGCAAATGTGCGTGGTTGTGCGTGGTTGTGCGTGGTCGGCCCATATGCGTTGTCGCTATTTGCAGCGCTTGGCACCTCTTGGCATGTGTCACTGGATTGCATCAAATCTGCTGAGATTGTCTGGCTGTAATAATATACAATACAATAATGACGCAATAAAAATAGTACTAATAAAATCATCCCCGATTCTCCCCCAGGCCTCGCTCATAGGCATTCCATGCCATGCTAGTACTAGTGAAAGGATGCAGAGAAGGCGGAAAGGCTGAGCATTCGGCGAGTTGCTACCAGTTTCTTATTAGCAGGAGGAATGTATGAAGTATGGTTAATATGCATCCTCGTAGCAGCAAGCCCATCCAGCATCTGACCGGTTGCCTGTTAGCAACAGAATGATGAATATATGCGCATTTACATGGATGTATGCATAAAGGGTGGGTGTATGCGAATAGAAAGTGAATGTATGCGTCGGATTCTCACCTAGAGACTATATCTCATGATCCATACAGTGCTCTCCCCAACCCTAGACTCCTAGCGTGCTCGTATATTCCCAGTCCTCCCCTGGATATCTGTGCCGTCAATATGCACTGAATTCTCACCATAGCTTGTCATCCAGAAATGCTCTCTTCAACATGCTTGTATCCATGGCTTGGGTCACTCGATGCCATCCTTTGAGTTGTCCGACAGACGTCCGGAATGGATAGCGCATAGAGACGGGAGAAGGGGAGAGTAAGAGAGGGGTGGGAACACTTAGACATGCGAGGGGAAGTGTTATATATGACGAAAATGGTTGGAGCTTCTCCAAAAGCTTGTGGATGTCACGGTAGAGCGACAATGGGTAAGAAACACAGGTTAAGCACAGGGTGATGATAAATTGGCAGTTGGTGAGGAGCGAGAGAACAGGTATCGTGTGCAAAGTAGGGAATATTGAACGAATGACATGGGGTATCGTATCTCCTGGAGAAAATGTAAGGCAGGAATCTAATACACCAGGAACCCTGCACTTGCCGATAATAATACCAATGCACACATGCCTGAAGGAAAAATCAATCGGAAATACAGGGACGTACATGTGGATTACTCACCACCAAAAGCAAATGAGAACTGAAAGAATGAAACAGGTGCACGACCACTGGGACCAAAACGACTGTTCATGACTTTGATGTAAGAGATTCTGCCGCTGAGTTTAGCGTTGATGACAACCAATCGGATAGTCCAATCGGTGACAGCACAAATGACGACCAGGAGAACAATGCCAAGAAAGAAGCCTGCTTGATTGACTGCGTACGGCAAAGCTACCGCAGTATTAGCCAAATCTGTTGCTGAAATTGCATCCTGACCAACCAATAATTCCTGTTATCCATTGTCAGCACTTTGGACATCTAAGCAACCAAAAGTTTACCAGCTCTGAGAATTGAATTTGCCATATTGGCAACCGAGTTCAGTAGACCTCCACCCGACCACTGTTTTTTAGCAAGGTCATCGAGGTCTACGTTCCTAAGTTCTCCATTCTCCATACTATCTGTTTCATACATAGGAATAACTGTGTCTGGCATTCTCCTTGCAGCCGAAGCATCCATGAGGCCAACCAGTAAAGGCATGGTGCGTTCTCGTCGTGGAGCCCCGCAAGAGTGCCTTTGTTCGCGTTGGATATCAGCTAGTGAAGCATCATCAAAGTCATCCGAGTCCAATTCATATTCTGTACAGGCACTGATAAGGTGCGTTGAATTACGAGCACAAAAATACGCACCCGCCTCCCGGCTCTGTATTGTGGACCATAAAGGTGTGCACTTCATCCTGAAATCTAACACCCCGTTCTGTCCTCCGTACTGCCGACCAGGGCTCTCCACTACTGCTTCCGAGTCCTCGTCGTCCACTGAAAAGGCAACTTGGTTTGTATCCGCTGAAACATCCAGCATTCAGCAGAGGCTGCCTAGCCTGTCCGTCTGCTGCCTCTCTTGCTCTTGAGTTTGCGGAAAACATCTGGCACTGTCCAGGACCATAGGCCAACTGAAGAAATTACCGTGAAAAGGGTTAGTAAGTTACAAGTTGCGCGCTTTGCGGATGGACATACGACTGGTTCTGTTGTTCGATGATTCTTCTTGGCATCATCTCAAACGGCATGGCCTCCTTGGTCATAGGGTCTGCAAGTTTAGAGCTGCAAGGTGTGAAGTCAGCACCTACGGCTCCGCCTGGAGACGGAATGCTGATGGACGGTGATGATGTCGTCCTCCTGCTCGGGAAAGAGGAAGACGTCGCTACTACCATTATGAGAGGCAGGTTCACTCTAAGATATGAGCCTTGGGTTAAGATGAGGAGCAAGAAGGAAGAGAGGAAACGTTTCGTTCTTGGAGGCGGAACGGGGTCGACCAAGTCAAACCGCAGAAGCGATGCAGAAGCCGGTCTTCAAAACATTTCTTTAGACCAAGGTCCAAACCATGAGGCCGTACCCGTCAAGGACGAGTATGCTGCTATTGGATCGTGTTCGCTCCTCCTCGTCGCACAACTCCTCGCGCAACTGCTCTTGATTCCCCAGGGCACATTCTTTGGTCAAATCATGTTCTTGTCCTCTTTAGCAGCTTCGTGGGCGTACAACCTGTACTTGTCCTCAATCGACAACGAGCATATCCAGGAAGAGTTACTCCTAGAAGCACTCAATCTGAATGAGCAACATATGCGGACTTACAGCCTTGGCACGAGAACAACTGCTGCCGTATTCGCATGCCTGATGCTCCAGCCTCCTGGTGTTTATGAAGAATCGGAGTGGAAGAAACTAGGTTTCGAACCAGAAGGTATCATCTGCAAATTCATTCCAAATGATACACCAGTATGGACGACATGGAGAGAAAAGGTCTTGGGTGTAATGAGAGACCAGAAAGTTTGCAGCCAAGACACTTGCTACGATTTGCTCCAGATGAGTGACCAGGAGAAAGATATGTTCAAGCCCAATGACCAAAAGCTTCTCGAAAACCTGTTAGAGGACGCTCGCACCGCATACGAACTGGCTGTGAACGAAAAGCTTTGGCTTAAGTGTGGCTGAGAAAGATGTAACTTGCATCTACGTACATTGATTTCTATCATGATGCGACTGTAATCAACCGTGCATTTTATCTGCCGTCAGAATTGAACAATCTAAGACATGCCATCAATGACTCACCGATGCACCACTCATCTTTACATCAAAGAGGCCGAAGGAGTCACAGCCTTGATCAGAACACGGTGGCTGCCGGTGCATTCAGACATTGAACGGTGAGTTTTGAAATTATTATCATTCACATCGATGAGTTGCCACAGCTATACGAGTGTTACCAAATGTATGATGGGCTGTGACGACCAGGTTTGGTGAGAATCATTATGTTCCAGAAGGTCGGGCGTCAGCATATTCCAGGAAGTCGGTGTCCAATGATATCCTATTGGCGCGCCGGTCCATTGCTTCCGATTATATCTCTCACAAACAACGTGCTGGTCTGATGTAATCGGCTCCAAGACTTACCACACAATGATTTTGTGGGGCTGCCTCAAGGCCAGCATTTCACTATGCTCCTCCCGCTGGCACAGTTCATGTCGCAGCTCCTCTTGGTTTCTCGCGCAATTTCCGGTCAGGTGATGTTCTCTTTCCCCCACTCGCAACGTCTCGGATCTACAACTCGTCCCTTTATTCCCTTCAGAGTGACAAGGGAAGGTACATGGGTTAACTCCGATCATTTGCAATTTGTTCCTAAGCAAGGTTTCTGCCGACGGCATTTCCCGAGTTCGTGGATATTCCAGAATTCACACTGATTCCATCGTGAAGATAAGTACAGCCACACTGGATCATCGGATCGAAGTGACTATCCATCATATCGCACAGAACATGCAACCATCATGCATCGTGCATCGTGCCTGGTTATATTTTGTTTCCTAACCGAACATGCTGTACACGCTACCGAGTGCCAATGAACTGTCGCTTCCTCTCAAAAACGCTACGTATTCAAATGCTTGAACCGGGATCGTGGATTAATCTCGTTTACTGGGTTTTACTACAGGATCGCATTCTGGTGTTAGCACGTATACCATGTGGGGAGCTTCCGTGATGTACAGACTCTGAAGGGGGTTCAGGGTTCAGAGTGCTCGAGTGACGAACTATTTGCGACGTGATCGTTCTTCTTTGCGAAGTTCTACAGGGTTTAACGCTGGCACGGCCACCACGAGGGGATCTCCCGCACCACTCGGATGTGATCAGGGTTCAGAGCGCTCACCACAAGCTCTTGGAAAGGGCTATTTTTGCTCTACTAGTTCCAGAACATGCGATAGAGCGGGCCGCAGGTCTAGGTATATAGTGACGGGCAGCCCGATGACAAATTCAAAACTTCTGACTTGTCTTAAATGCCTCCATTGCTTGGGCCAATTGCTGATTCTCAAAATTTCAGTCTCGATGCTTCCGGTGTTGCTGGTTTCTTTGGCGGCGAGGAAGCTATCACCGCCATGGCTACTGTGCACCTGTATAGGGGACGTAGATGGCTCGTCTGGTACAACTCCCCCGGCAGCTACACTATAGCCAAGGAGTTCGGCAGGATATCCAAGTCAAGATCTTGGAGTGGTCTTTTTCCTGGCTCCAACCACGATCCAGCTGTTGCATTCAAGCTAGACGTGAAGACTGGCCTGAAATACGTGGCATCACGCTCAGGAACTGTCATGCAACAGACAGGACACTTTTCACATCTCCCTATCGCAGGGGACAGATGATGCAACACCATTTCCTCTTCCTGCCACACGAACCACTACGAATTCACGCATCTCTATCGTCACTGTCCCTGAAATCGCATATCACAACCTTCTTGTACAGACCATGAGCTACCACCACGCCGTCTTTGCCAGCTTCCCTATCCTGGTCAGCATCAGTACATGCATCTTTTCCGCCTTATACGCAGACTGGTACTGCTTTGCAATGATCCTCCTCGGTATTATTTCTAGTGGTGTCACATGTTTCATCATCGGCTCCGGAGTCCTCGATATCGAAACTGTCAAGAACCAGCACTGAAGTCTTGCATATAGTTTATGCATACATGTTGACTCCTAACAACATTTGTTCGGATAGCAATATAATTTGCAACTCTGATTATGGAGTAAGCATCGACCGAGGATCATTTGGCTTCGAGACTGGACAGTGTGTATTTTTCAAGGCTATGTATCCTGACATACTCGCTGACGACTGGGTGGCAGCTGGAGCCGTATCACGATTCTTGTGCAACTGAACAATGATTCCCTCGTTGCGAATGGCAACATTATTTTATAGTAAGTATTGTATCATTCAGGCAGCCCTGATGTAAAGTTCGTTGTCGTCATAGCTTCAATGATGTTCAAGTGCTATCACAACAAAACTTATACTTCAGGACAGTCAACAATGTCACTATTGAGGGATTGTACTTCTCGTGAGTCGTGTTCTTCTGCGAATCGTAATGTACTGCTACTGACTTTATGAATATGTAGGACATTCTTTGGAGGTCGGTTTTCAGTATACTTGTCAGATTCGCATTGAAGGATGACTCTTTTTCACAGGGGGCGACTCCAGCTGGGCAACACCGCAACCTGTTCATACTTATTACCGCAATATACAGATGTGGGGCAGCTCCTCTCCATCTTTACTTTCTGGACAAACGGTCAATGCTGCACTATCCTCATGTTGCAAGCTTGGAAGCATGGGATGGACGTTGTCTGCATCTGTTCTTCTCACTCTTCTCATGTATCTATAGGCTTGGATGACACATGGACACATGCTGCACGCATTATGCGCACTTGGAGCATTAGATGGCATATAGGCTGTGCGACATTATACCCACGGAAAGTACCTTGGTCCCTAGAGTACTAAAGTTCGAGGTGTCAAAGAAGTCGTCGTGGTCGACGAGGGTAGCCTTGGAATTGATCGAGTGGCGCTTCAGCTTCTGAATCGGCAGTAGTCTAATGGGCAGGGTGGACGGCGAAGTACTGCAGTATTCGCTTGCGATTGAATTCTATAAAGAGAGAAATCACAGAGTGTTGCTGGTGGGAGGTAGATTGGGCTCGGCTAAATCATGTCTCGGACTGCATGATGGCGAGTGGCCGCAAAGCAAGGGGTGTGCACGCGATATCGGCCATGTCAATTTGTCGCCAGCAACATGCACGATGCTTATTTTATGATGACACGGGGCTCTGGCCAGGTGTGCATGCATGTGAAACTTGTAACTGTGACATCTAATATATAAGCAGACGTTACGCGTTATCGTGCAATTGGCCACCAAATATTCAAGACTTGACAGTAATCGTGACAGCTGTCGCACTGCAGCAGGCTGAAATTCGTCGTACTAGTCACGGTAAGTAGTATGATTCGACACATACACTCTGAACTGCCAAGTGCAGTACTCTGATTGCGTCCAATAGATAAATGTGGCTGGAAATTGATGTATGTAGATCTATGGTACTTAGTTAATAGGTGGAATGTCTTCTTGGTCCTCCGAATCGTCATGCTGACTTCGTGCTTTCTTTTTCCCTTTGCTCTTCTTTCTCCCCTTCGCGCGTTCCGCCTTGGCGTAAGCTTTGGAAACACAATTCCAAAAAGTATGTGCGGCCCCGTCTGACATGCCAATTTGTTCCTTATAAAATCCTGTGGTAAAGAAAGCTGCGGTGGGCAAATACAGTACACCACGATCTTTCAGTGTACCAATGTATTGAGGAAAGTTCATGGTAGGGTAGCGAGAGTGAGCACTCGTAAGGACATCCTCGATATCTTGCGGCGGTTCATCGTCACTTGATTCATCGTCACTCTCTATATAAAGGGCATATGTCCGCTTGAGAGGCGGAGGAAACATAGTAGGGTGTCCTTGTTGTCTTGTACGTGTTCCGTCCTGGGAGATCACCATGTCATTGACGGCGGATGAGAGATGAATATGATTATGAATTCGAATGGGTGATATGACCTCGGTAGGTACTCTCTCAAGCGATGACGCAGATCGCTCCTTACGTGTCTTCCGAATTTCGTCGAAATGTAGGGTGTTGGGTAGCGTGTCACATGCGTTGTCGGGATCTTGAGTCTGGTGCTATGATCGTTCAATGAACATCATTAGTGTTACGCACTCAAATAGGTCTGTTATGCGGAGCCCTAAGAGGGGCGTCGTCCGCTAACGTTCGTGACGTAACCGGAAGGGTCCGGTGTAGCGACTGAGACTGGCGACGTCGAGTCGGCAGATATCAGAGACGCGCGTGTCACGTGACTTCTAAGACAGATGTCTTCAAAGTCACTGACGTTCTCAACGTAAGGACAGTCTTGTCCGAACGATGAGGTGGTCGATCGAGGTAGACTTAGGCGCGATGAGCACCTAAGAAAAGATACTAGAGACTGAAGCTGAGGGGGCTTCAGAGGGAAGTATGTTCGAGGGAAGATTGAGTAGATTCAAGTTAGGGAATCTAGTACAGAGTGACCGACTATTTATACTAAGTGGAAAGGGTTAAGGGCAAGGCTACCGTACTGTAGGTAAGGGCAAAGGGGAGACGGAAAGGGTATAGGTACGATGGTGGCAGAGCCTGATTAGTGATGTAAGGTCGAATGCGGAATGAGGCCGAGAAACGTTGGAACGAGCCAACGGTAAATGATACAATGTGCAGCATGCACGAGTCAAAGGAAAGATAAGACAAGATAAGGAAAGCCACATTGGTGGCACGAGTCAGAACGAGTCATAGCCCGAAGGCACGTGCGCACGTTGGTGCGATAGGAGGGGGATGAGGGACGGGAACGGTCCCGAGGATCCGGTCAACGGATAGTCGGTAGAGAAGTGCGAGCCGGAGGCATACGAGGGCGAGGACGAAGGGGAAAAATGATAGGGGGGCCATGTAGCCGATGTTACTTGTAACATTACCCCCGTTTCAAGGTAGAGTTCCACGAACTCTTTAATCGTCGTCCAGAGGAACGTAGTCGTCCTGGTTGTTATACCATGCGGGGTCGAAGTCGAGGTCTTCGAGCCAGGAGGCGGCTTCGATTGCATTCTCTTCGCGTTCTTGCTCAAGGCGAGCAGCGTCCTGGTCATACGCAGCTTCAAGCTGCTGCATGTCCCTGTAGAACCGGTCGGAAGAGGTTCCACGGCGAAGGATCTTTCTGCCGTCGAGTCGAGGGCAGAAGGGGGTGAGATGTTTTGGGGCAAATTGCCCACAAATGCGGCAGAAGTATTGCGCGCAGTGCTTCTGTTTGTGTCCGTAGACACGGCACTGGCGGCAGACAACGTTGCTGCGGTAGACCTGGGTGGTCTCGGTGGCATCACGACGCGCGTCGTTGATGGCGTCTTCCTGGGCTTCCTCGCGAGGATAGTGCCTAGTGAAGTTCTGGGTGCGCGGTCGATGCGCGTGGGAGAGGGGTAGTCCTAGGGACAAGATGGATCGTGCACGAGTATGGTGATTTTGGCGTTGCGGAGTGGGAAGGGGTTCCGGAGAACCAATAGCGAGGTGTGGGACCGTCTCGGTGGGTACCCAATCGTCGGGGTTGAGAACAGGTGATGCGGGAGGGCATTCATCCAACTCTGGGATGATGATAGAGATGGTGTCAGCATCGAGGATGGGGGAGGGGTTACGTGGAGCGTAGAGCTCGCGTTCGTATTCGTTATAGAGACGGTCGATCTCGGGGTTGGTCAACTGGGTGACATTGGGGATCTGCTCTGGTGATTCAGAGCGGGGTAGTTGGGGAAGGAAGGGGGTCGGAGCTCTGTCGTAGACAGCACGCTCGACGACTGCAAGCGGGTCGGGAGGGGGATTAAATGCCCGCTCCTCCTCGACGGCCATGACGGCGGCATGGAAGTTCCTAAGTTCAAACAGATTTAGCAAGGCTCGTTTGATCTTGCCTTGGTTGTATCTGGTCGAGACGGTGGATAGGGAAGTCTCCCTAGCCAGGTCAATCCTGGCGATGTCGCCGGTGAGGGCATCGGTGGCCCTGAAGGCCTGAACGAGGTTCATGGTTATGTCGTCGTTGGTGCGGTTGAGATAGTTGTCGAGTCGGATTGCATACTGGGGATCGCAGATGACTGCTTCCCAGTAGGCCCGTTGCCTGTCTTGGACAACTGAGCGAAGGGATGGTCGTCGGAAGACGGTGTAGGAGGGCCTATCATGGCCATGCGTTGGCTGGCTCGTCGGGTCGGGGTCGGAGGCAGACGCATGAGAGGTAGCGGATCGGTGCGAGGAAACAGACGACGCTGAGGCCGACATAGTGGAGCGTCTTTCCTTGGGTAGTGGCGTAGGTGGGGTATTGGGTAGTGGGTCTCTGTTTGTCGACGGGTGTGGATTTCTTGGGGCGGTGGCGATTGCGGATTCGTTGGCGATGGAAGGCTTTGGTATCGGTGTGGATGGGTTCGCTGGTGGGGTCAGCCCTGGTGTAGTGAGGGCGGTAGGAGAAGTTGCGGTGGCGGTTGTTGATCAACATGAGATGGTGATTGAAGCGATCTTGAGTCGCTTCTTATACGCCTTCAGGAGCTCCGCTGCGGACTTCAATTCTGTTTCGGGGAGCCACGTTCGTTCGGAGGCAGGATAGCCAACCCAAGACACGAGGTACCGGCGACGCGATCCGGTACCCTTGTGTTGGAGGATAGCTTCCACTTCGTAGTGTTCCTCTCCATCGATAAGATCAGGAGGAGGTTCGGTGAAATTCGGTCCATGCACGTCTGTCTCCTGATAGGAGGAAAGTTCCGAGGCATGGAACGTGGGGTGGATACGCCAGCTGGCAGGCAGCTTGAGCTGGAACGTGATGGGGGAGAGGACCTTCTGGATTGGGAAGGGTCCATATCGTTTCGGGGCGAGTTTCCTAGAAGGGAATCCGGTGATCAGGTTCGTGGCGGATAGCCATACCTTATCACCAACGTTCCATGGCTTGTAACGCTGGCCATAGGAACGATCAGCCATGCGTTGCTGCGCGAGGCTGTGGCATGCAAGGGCTTCTTCGCGGATTTTGGCGAGTGATTTGACTCGGTCTTCGGCGGTTGGTAGGGTAGAGTCGGGGAAGAGATGGGGGATGCCTCGTGGTTCGTAGCCCATCATGAGATAGAAGGGAGAGGCATTTCTGGCAGAGTGTCGTCGGGAGTTATGAACAAATTCGGCCATAGGCAAGTGCTTTGCCCATTCGGAGGGAGTCGTCCGGCAGTAGATCCGGAGGTAGGTTTCAAGCTCTTGGTTGAGCCGTTCGGTCTGGCCATCTGTCTGAGGGTGATAGGCAGTGGAAAGTGCGACTTGGTAGTCGAGGAGTCGTCCTAGCTCCTTTGCTAGCTTCGAGGCGAATTGGGGGCCTCGGTCCGAGATGATCTTGTCATAGAGTCCGAAGCGCATGAACACTTTCTTGAAGAAAAGTTCGGCTACTCCTTCCGCTGTGATGGTTTTTCTGCAAGGGCAGAGAATTACCCCCTTCGTAAGCCCATGGTCTACCACGACCATGACAGAATCGTAGCCGGCGCTCTCGGGGAGGTCGGTGATTAAATCAACCGAGACCTGAGCGAAGGGCCGGAGGGCCGAGGAGGGTATCGGGGTGAGGGGGGGTGTCGTGGGGTGGGTGTTAACCTTCATCTGCTGGCACATGGCGCAGCCATCGACGTATTTCCTAATGAAGGAGCCCATTCTGGGCCACCAGTAGGATTTCTTGACGTTCCATTCGGTACCGGAACGCCCGGGGTGCCCGGCGGTAGGGTGATCGTGATGTAGAGACAACACGCGATGCCGGAGGTCGGGGGGAACGTAGGCACGATCCTTATAGAAGAGAACACCATCGGTGAACCTCCAATCGGAAAGTGCAGACTTCATGGGAGGTGCGCACACCCCGGAAAGGGCGTCCAGGGCTGTTTTCACAGTCTGGTCGGAGGGGTCGTCAGAGAGTCGTTGAAACTCGTCTGCAAGTTCAGCGTCGATTAGACGGGTGAACAGGGTGTCGGGGAGGAGGATACGATCCTCGTTATCCTGACCAGCTATAGCGTGGTCCGGACGGCGGGACAAGGCATCCGGTGCAGCGAGCTTTGTTCCAGGAACATGGTGAAGTTCCAGATCAAAGTTGGTGAGCGTAAGGTGCCACCGGGCTTGTCGTCTGGTGAGTCGTTGCGCGGAGCGGAAATAGATCAGGTTCTTGTGATCTGTGAAGACAATGACTGGGTGAGGGTTTCCTTCGAGGAAGTGCCTCCAAGCCTGAAGGGCTCGGATGATGGCAAGGAGTTCTCGGTCGTAGATTTCGTAGTTCCGTTCGGCCGCGTTGAGGGACTGGGAGAGGTAGCCGCAGGGGTGGTAATCCCCATTGCTATCCGTCTGGAGCAAGACTGCTCCGGTTGCGAAGAGTGAGGCGTCAGTTGCAAGTGCAAACTGTCGTGAAGAATCGGGGTTCCGCAGAACTGGTTCGGTGGTGAAAAGCTTCTTCAGATGCTGGAATGAAGCTTCGGTAGAATCGGACCAAGAGAAGGGGATCTCCTTCTTGGTGAGATCGAGGAGAGGGCGTGCGATGTCGGAGTAGTGGGGAATGAAATGACGGTAGAAGTTGCAGAATCCAAGAAAGGACCGCACGTCCTTGACCGAAGAGGGTTGTTGCCATTCGCTGATGCCTTTCAGCTTGGCAGTGTCCATAGCGACCTGTCCAGGTCGGATGATCATACCAAGATACTCGACTTCTTGAGAGTCGAAAGTACATTTCTCGGGTTTGAGGAAGAGAGACTCTTTGCGGAGTTTCTCCAACACTCGGCGGGTCCTCTGCCGGTGTTCGTCCAGGTTATCTGAAAAGATCAGGATGTCGTCCATATAGACGATTAACCATCCTTCGTTCAGTTCTTCTGAAAATGTCTGGTTCATGTAAGCTTGGAAGGTGGCGGGTGAATTGCACAATCCGAAAAACATTACCTTGGGCTCGAAGAGCCCGTATGAGGTGGAGAACGCGGCCTTCCACCTGTCGTCGGGATGAATGAGGATATTGTTATATCCTGAGCGTACATCGACCTTTGTGAACCATTGCGCTTTGTTGAGTTTCGCAAGCAAGGGTGGTATCAAAGGGAGTGGGTACGCGTTCTTGATCGTCCATTCGTTGATGTATCGGTAGTCCTGGCAGGGGCGGAGAGATCCGTCCTTCTTGCTGACAAAGAAGAATCCAGCAGCTTGAGGAGACTTCGAAGGTTGGATGAAATCTTTGGCGAGGTGTTCGTCCAAAAATGCTTTGACAGCATCGGTTTCCTTCGGTGAGAGCGGGTAGGCTCGAGAAGACTTCGGAATGAAGCCTTCCTTCGTTTCGATTTTGTGGTCTACTCCCGGCCGTGAGGGGGGAAGTTTGTTCAGACCGTCCTTTGCAAAGATGTCAGCAAAATCATGAAGATAGGAAGGTACCAGTTCTTCAAATGATTTCTTCTTCTTCTCCTGCGCGTCCTCCATAGCAAATTCTTGAGCTTTGTTGGAGGTCTTCGTGTAGTCCTGCTGAGAAGCGAGGATCCAGAGGTTCCGGAGGGGTTTTGCTCGTCTGTGGAGAGCCTTCCGGATTTCTTTCTTCGAGGTTCCGTCCTTGGTGAGCGGAGTGTCGAAAGAGATATTCTCGATGATCCGGATGGATGTTCCGTCCGAAGCATATTCCACTAGAACTTCATCGTCAGTGAGGGGATAAGTGGAGATCTCCTCAACTTTATCCGCGAGATGGGTCTGTCCGACCCAGACATCGTCCATGGTGTTGAAGTCGGTATCTTCGAAGGGCACGATGATTGGCGCCGTCTTCTTCTTGTTACGCTTCTTGCGTTTCTTGATTTCCTCGAGGCAATGTTGAGTGCCTTTGGGGAGTCGCTTGAGGGGCGAAAAGTCCTCGTCGTCGAGTTCTTCTAGGACAGCCTTTTCTCCACGAAAGAGATATGGCTTGGCCTTGCTTTCTCGTCGGGAGGCGTTAAGTTCCCTCTCCACCTCCTTTGACCTATTGGTCGCAGGCAGGGAGATCGTGTTGGCCTTCCAGTCGATATTGGGCATCATGGCACTAAGCCAAGGTTTTCCAAAAAGTAGATCATCATGCTTGGAAAGTTTCGTTACGTTGAACTTTCCATACATAAGTCTCCGATCGAGACGAATGAATAGCATGCAGTATAGGGTCACCTGTCCTGCCGAGGACGGGCTTCCGTCTACTGTGGTGATCCGGAAGGGTTTCTTGAGTAGGTGGGTCCGGATCCCATTTCGCTTGACGAAGTCATAGCTAATGAAGGTCCCACCTGCCCCTGAGTCGATGATGGCGGTCGACTGAACGGTTTTGGCACTGCAAGAAGAGAAAAGTGTCACCGGGACACGAAACTCGTTGGATTTACCAACAGCTTTAGTATACAATGCGCAGATAGAGGGAATTGACCGTTCGACAAGCCCTCTCTTTAAAAATCCTTTCTTTTGACAAGGTTGACTTCCATGTCTTCCTCGTCAGAAGACTCATCAAGCTGGCGGACGCCAGACTTGCTTGGCTTCTTGCCTTTGTCTTCTTCGTCGTTCTTGTCTCCTCGGCGCACCTTCGGGTGGAACCGGGAGTCGTTTGCTCGATGGCCCTTCTCCTTGCATTTGAAGCAAAGGCCTTTATCGAAGCACTTCTGTCGTTCCTCAGGCGTGAGGGAACGATCAACGTCCATAGCATCAGGATCGCGTTGGCGGACCTGAGGCTTGGGGACGTGCCGGTGCCCGGAAGGGCGTACCGATCTGTTGTTGGACACAACTGCTCTTGATCACTTGTAGTTGGCTTCCAACTGTGTCGCGGCAGTGTACCATTTATCGATGGTGTTGGGGACGACCTCCTTCGTGTAGATGGCGGTTCGAAGTCCTGGTTTCAACCCTCGTTCGAAGAAGTGGATGAGGGCGACGTCCTGCTTGAGACTAGCAGTGGACGACAGGGTTTTGAACGTCGCGATGTAGGGCATCACGTCGCCAGTTTGGGTCAAACCATGAAGCTTGGTTAGAGCCTCAGTCATCCGGTCGACCGGGTGGAAGGATTCGGTGAAAGCCTTCCTGAAGTCCTTCCAGCTACCGAAGTCGACGGGAGTTTTGTCGAAGGCTGCTCGGTAGAAGGTGTCAGCCCAGACGCGGGCATCTCCATCGTTCATATACTGGAGTGCAACAGCGACCTTGGTTTGGTCGGAGCTGTAGATCGTCGAGTTGATGAGGAAGTATGTCTCCACCGAGTACATCCAGCGCTTGGCATCATCGATGTTTCCATCATAGTTCTGTGGTACTCCAGCCTTTAATTCAGGCCTGGATACGACCACTGTCGGTTGTGGGGTGGGGCCTCCGGACATTCTTGTTCCAGGGTTCGAGTTGAGGTTACCGTGCGGTTGTTCGTCGGGAAACTCGTCGGAGGACGTATGGTCTTCTTCCGATTCTTCTTCTTCGGAGTCCGGAGTGTTGGGGTCGCGTTCCCAAGGGTACTTCGGGATCCAGGTAGTCGTGGTGTCTGTCGGTTAATGGCCGTGCGGATGGCAGGGCGCAAAAAGGAAACTTGAATCTTTTGTTACGCACTCAAATAGGTCTGTTATGCGGAGCCCTAAGAGGGGCGTCGTCCGCTAACGTTCGTGACGTAACCGGAAGGGTCCGGTGTAGCGACTGAGACTGGCGACGTCGAGTCGGCAGATATCAGAGACGCGCGTGTCACGTGACTTCTAAGACAGATGTCTTCAAAGTCACTGACGTTCTCAACGTAAGGACAGTCTTGTCCGAACGATGAGGTGGTCGATCGAGGTAGACTTAGGCGCGATGAGCACCTAAGAAAAGATACTAGAGACTGAAGCTGAGGGGGCTTCAGAGGGAAGTATGTTCGAGGGAAGATTGAGTAGATTCAAGTTAGGGAATCTAGTACAGAGTGACCGACTATTTATACTAAGTGGAAAGGGTTAAGGGCAAGGCTACCGTACTGTAGGTAAGGGCAAAGGGGAGACGGAAAGGGTATAGGTACGATGGTGGCAGAGCCTGATTAGTGATGTAAGGTCGAATGCGGAATGAGGCCGAGAAACGTTGGAACGAGCCAACGGTAAATGATACAATGTGCAGCATGCACGAGTCAAAGGAAAGATAAGACAAGATAAGGAAAGCCACATTGGTGGCACGAGTCAGAACGAGTCATAGCCCGAAGGCACGTGCGCACGTTGGTGCGATAGGAGGGGGATGAGGGACGGGAACGGTCCCGAGGATCCGGTCAACGGATAGTCGGTAGAGAAGTGCGAGCCGGAGGCATACGAGGGCGAGGACGAAGGGGAAAAATGATAGGGGGGCCATGTAGCCGATGTTACTTGTAACAATTAGCGTGCTTTGTGGCAGGCAGCAAAGCATGCACGTACCAAGTGTTTGGCCCACTCTTGCAGGTCTTGTGTACACAGCGGATAGTGCGGAGTATTTGGCTGTGTAGCATCTACCCAACAGAAAGTATTATCTCCTGGATGATCCGAGCAGCGCAACTTGTTCCTGACATTGTCGAACTCTTTTGTATACAGGAAACGTGATGGTAGTCTCTGCTCGCTTGCAGAAGATGATATGCCCGCCTTTCGTTGTCTTAATTTTTCTTTCAGCACAGGCGCCTGCAAGGTCACGACGATCATGTCTTACAAACCACTTGCAAGTATCAAAAATGACACGTACGGTATTGAGAATCTCAATCACAACTTTTTTCTTTTTCCTCCCAGAGCTGCTTTCCTCTTCCCTCACGGCCTTGAAGGCGCTGTCAATATCATGCGCAGTTAAAAGCCGATGTGGTGGGTCCGTGCGGCGTGCGGTGGATAAACGCCAGCCCAAGTGTTCATATAGCTCTGGAACATCCATCGTAGCTTTGATGGAGTCAAAGATGTCTCGCCGAGAATCTGATTCGGAGTGTAATCTGTCCACATAGGTAATCAATTGGAGTCTATCCAAGGTATGCAGGGGCACTCTGAATTCGACTAGCACGACTCTACTGAGCATTCTGACATGACTCGTGCGCACTCGACTCACCTTTCTCGAGCTCAGGGGCCTGGTACTGTTGTGCGGTAACCTTTTCTACTGAGTCGAAGCGGTTGGTGATTCCTTGAGAAAGGTGCCGAACCGTGTTTACGCGGCTGAAGTCTTCGTCATTGGCATCGGGTAGGTTTGGACGGATACCAAGTAGAAATGCAGCTGTTTGCGTACGAGTGCGCTGACGGGCAAATGTCGAACTTGAAAGTGAGTTAATCCTAGCTTGGGACCGTGACATCCGAGTCATGATGCCTAAAAACTGCCAACTCTCCGAACTTCAAATCGCATTCAACACACCTGACTTATATCATGCTCTTTGCAAAAGTGGCGATGACTCCTCCGGGAGTCCGACGTCGAAATTGATCACAGAATGCCGTTGACCATGTTTTACAACCGATGATGACATAGCTTGGACAAAAGAGGCTCGAAAAACGATTGAGACATCTGCAGGAAGTAAGCTTACGGTATATGCCAAGATCAGGCTGGAACATATCTCACCTGGGACTAACAGAAAAACAAAGACATGCCAGTGAGTCATATTCCACGTAAGCTGTGCATCGACGCTCGCCTGTCATGCCTCACAAAGCACCACCGTACTAGTAACAGCAGCACAGAACAGCGAGGACCCTAGTACGGTAAGTCGGACTTAAACATCGTGACAGCCGCACATTTTCTGATACGGACGGTCGCACCCGCCCGGTTGCAAAGTCAAGTCTGCTCGAATGATCAGAATCATGATAACTTTGGGGCTGGATGGAATCGATTTGGAAGAACGTGGCCCCAACTTGAGCCAAGTCGTCCCGATTATACTAGTACGTGATCGGACTGGAGTCTATTAAGATGAATGTCCGAGTCTGGCCCACGGCACATGACAATATATGGTAATAGTTCCCACAGGAAACAGAACTGGCACGGGCCAGCCTGCCAAGTGGTCGTCGGGAATCTTGCAACGAATTCATGCTAGTGACCGGTCCAACAGGTAGTAATGATCATGATGTAACAGTAGTAAAGAAACCATGTACATCATTGTAGTTTGTGAGAATATGTAGTACATTGAAGCTGCTTTCATCTGACTCGGAGCTGGGGCCGCCGCTATTTGAGTATTAAGATTAAGTACACCGAGTCACTGAGGTCAAGCATGCGACTCGCCTAAGCCAACTTCTACTACCCCCCACGGGTGTAAATGTCTGCGATCAGCGCAAGGCGTTGCTCTTGCGACATAGAATTGTAGAGATTAATTAGCATATTGTGATATGCCCGCCTGGGGGCATTCAATTCAAAGGAGTCGTCCATAAAAATGCCAGTAGATAATTGATTTAATGCCCACACAAATAGTGTACATGTGAGCGTCAGCAGGGCTCGTACGTTTCTTGCGCCACCGGTATAGCGCTGATAATCGAGGTCATGGAATAACAGGTGTCTCATGAAGTCCCGTACTGCGGGGTGCCCAAAGGGCACCCTTACAAGTTGTCCTCCCACCTGACTCGCCATAAGAATTACAGTTGTGAAGAAAACGAGACCCAGTCACTCACATTGATCTCTCCGTAAAGGAAGTTGTGATATTGAAGGAGGTTTTGGATGATGATCCCCACCTCCGTTTGTGTTTGCAAGGTCAACACTTTGTGTAGTTCGTAAGCCAAAACAACATGGATCCGTACGAGGCTCTTGATACTGTCCCGTAGATTCTTGATGGTATTGGCCATTATGGCTACTTGTGCTTGCGCTTTGCTACCCCTGCTCCATTCGGTGATGTCAGCTGCTCTCGGTATCAGCTATCGGTATTGAGTAGATGAGTTGTCGCACTTACGATTGTTATAAGTCAACACAGTCTGGTCGAGACTTTGTTGTGCCAAGGTTGCACTGGCTTTTGATGTCATTAGGAAGGAAATTTCGACTATCCGGGTCTTCATACGTTCCCGGGCCAGCAACTGCACCCGTGTCACAGCTTCAGGACCAAATATGATGTCTGTGGGCGCTGGTGGTACCACAGGAGGTACGGCAGGCGGTGGTAGGATCTGAGGTGCCACAGGTGGTGGTAGGACCTGAGGTACCACAGGCGGTGGTAGGACCTGAGGTACTACAGGTAGCGGTAGGGTCTGAGGTACCACAGGTGGTGGTATAGCCTGAGGTATCACCGTGACAAGCTGCGGTAGTGTTATCGAGGTAGAAAAGGGCACGGTGGACATCAGAGAGTGAGAAGACCCCTCACTCATGTCACCCTGATCAGTGGGAATAGGGATAGCAGGAGGTCGAAGAAACCTAGCTGGGATGGGATAAGGCATGTATCGATTTGATCGCGGTGGAGGATCGAAGCGTGTGGTAGATAGACGGGAGTTCATCTCACGACTGGCTCTCTGTGAACTTCCCGAAGCCTGCGGCATCTCTGGGTCGTGGGCAAAGTGACCTCCACTGGTTGCTGCAGGTGCATCAAAAAAACCAGCCTGGTTGTAATACAACTCTGCTGCTGCTATTTCAGCATCCCAATCAAATCCACCTGACTCGGAAGCCTGAGAGTAGGGGGTAGGCTGAGATTGCCCGGTTTCTCTGTAAAAATGTGCATAGTCGGGAGGTGCTAGTGCCATGGACGAGAAGTCATCATCCTGATCAGCCTGCAGCGGTGGTGATTCCATTAAGCTTGTCCACCACTGCGACTGCTGCCAGTCCGAATTGTCCAGGGCATGCGCTGTGGAAGTGTCAAAGTACGCGCTTTCCATGATACCGTGACTGCAATCGTCTTCGAAGTCCTCGTCACCGAGAGTCATTTCTGGAGACCCGCTGTAGAAACAACTATACAATGAGGAACAAAAGAAGCTCCTGACTGTATCTGTAAAAGTTGTAAGGTCGCGCGCTGCCTAGTCTGTGTTACTTGAGAAGCAAGTGCGTTCGACCCTATAGGGGAAGTGAGTGCAGCAAGGATCTAGAAGTGTGCGCTTAAGCGAAGCGCGAGAAAGCGCAGGAGCGCGCAAGGTACAAAGGCGCGGGAACGCGCGCGCGTATTAGCGCGAAGCGCGGGAAAGTGCGCGCGCGTATGCGGAAATGAGAAACTAAGCTTAAGTAGTGATATAAAGCAAGATAAGAGATATAAGAGTGCAAAATGTAAAGGAATAGCTTTCTACTATATTCTGCTAAGTAGTAAGTGGGTAGTAACTAGTAAGTGAAAAGTAGGAAAAGTAGGTCAGTAATAGTATGTACTGCTGGCGCTTATATAGCGCGCCTAAGCGCGGTCAAGCGGAGCCGAAGCGCTACCGAGTAGGTATGTAAATATATATATGAGTGATAATGCATGATAAAAATAAAGGTGGAACTATGCTAATAAAGGAAATGGAAATATACGCACTAGGGAGCTTGGTGGACAGTGGATGGATGCTTCTGGATGGCTGGCGCCATAGGGCGCGCAAGCGCGGGAACGCGCGCGCGCGTATACATCGCGAAGCGCGGGAATGGTGCGCGCATGGCGCGCGTTGCGCGGGAAAGCTGCGCGTCATATAGAGATAGCTGTGGGTAGTGCACAGAGTGACGCTACAAGTTCGTGCTATGTACTTCCTAGTGTAAAGCACCATATCACGCCATGAGAGGCATAATTCTCTACATCTCCCAGGGACTTAAATTCTGAGTGTCCCCACTCAGTGCGTGTGTGGTGAGGGTTTCGCGTGATAGTATGCATGTGCGATGCATGTACGATGCTTTGGTTGTTGGGCGATGAATGCGTGATCATAAGAATGGTATGTGTGAAGCGCGGGAAGTTGTGCGCATGTTACGCGCGAGGCGCAAGAATGCGCGCGCGCTATGCGTGAAGGCGCGGGAATGAAGCGTAGCATGGTGGATTGCGAGGGTGACTCTGATGTGATTAATGTGCCATGGGTGTGGGGCGATGATGCAAGGGTGATATGGATGTGGCGCGCAAAGCGTGGGCGAGATGCGCGCATATCCATATAGCGCGGGAAAGTGCGCGCGTGCAAGGCGCGAGAATGCGCATGAGTGTCGCATGTGTTGTATTCTGTGGGGATGGCGCGAAGTGGCGCAGTCCAGGAGCAATCCAATCCATGTCCAAACCAAGTCCTACTAGGCGTGCTAAATATTAGTTGCTAAAGGTTTGAACAGCATGAGTAAAACTATAAGTGAAAATATGAAGGGAAAATGGTAAACTTTGCGGATGTCCTATCCGACTTGTCTTCTTCGTGCAGCTGTCAACATCTACACCTTCCTATGAGAAAGGCGCGGGAAGCGCGCACGCGCGCGCGTGAAGCGTATGTGCGCAGGAAGATTGCGCGTATATGCGCATGAGCGTGGGAAGACTGCGCGCATATGTGCGCGTTCTAAGGTAAAAAGGAGCATGGTGCCGCGTCATGCGTGCGAAGAGGAAATATACTATTGAGCTAGGCGGGCACGATCTATGGTTGTTTTTCTTCTAGGTGATTCCTATATGCATATATCAGTGTGTTATTAGTCTTTTGGACAGTGTTATAATGAGAGAAAATGAAATGAAAGAGCACTGGACGAAACCCAGGGTAAAACAAACAATATCCTATGAAACAGTGTTGGTATATGTTCCTCCTTTGATGCGCCGCTGAAGCACTCGATCCTCCTCCTTGAGTGCGTGCGAGCGCGCGTGACTAGCGCGCTTCGCGTCTCTTGCGAGCTGACGCTTTACCCAAGGTAGGGTTGGAATGCGCAAGGCTGGCGTATTTGGGGGGGGCTTGTAACTGGCAGAATGAATTCCTGCACAACGCGCTGCAGGTTGAAGGCGCGCCAATGGGAGGCGCTGTGAGGGGTGTAGAGGCGCCCTACAAGCTGATAGGGTGCGCGCAATGTGCGCGCCTTGGGGCGATTTCGCGCGAATTTGATTATATTGGCCGAACACGCGAGGAACGGCCATTTCTCTGTGAATGCATTAGCAAGAGATGTACATAGCATTGAATTAGGCGCAAATGATGCGCGAATGGGCTGTAAGGGTGGTATATCAAGGCACAGTAGGCGCATAGGTGAAGGAGAATAGTGCGCATCAAGGCGCGCAGGAACGAAATTGACATGGTAAGCAAAAGCGCGAAGAATGCGAATAAATGTGGGAAGTGCAAAGTTAAAGATGATGATAGGGGAGTTAGGCGCATATGTATGTGTCAGGCGCGCGCCTAAGTCGCGCCTGGATGGCTGATTGAAATATACTTTGTGTTGAATGATAGAAATGCGGTTTAGAAGGGGAGAAGCGATAGAAATGCGGTAGCGTGAAAACTCTGCTAAATTTATGAGTGCACGAGGCGCGGGAACGCGCGCGCATATTGCGCGATGTGCGTGATCATGGCGCGTGAACAAGGGGTGGTGAGAAGATGAAATTAAAGTGTTTGGAATCATCATATAGCTCCTTAAGAGCTTCAAACATGAAAAGGACAAAAAGCGCGAAACAAGATGAGGGTAAATATACACTGCCTCTAGGCGCGCGCATTGCGCGTCCTCAGGCGCAATATGGTGCGCCTGAGTTGCGCCAGGGTCGCCTGAGACATGCTCTACTTGGTGGTTGTGCAGCGTGATGCACGGATGTTTTACCGGTGCGCGATAGTCACTGGAAGCAAAAAGCGCGACATGCGCGCAATCGTTAGTGACAATTGGAGTTACCAGAGGCAAACTCTGGTTGATGCAAGGTGCAACTTGAGCCTCTGATGTGGTAGGAGGCTCCTCTATAGGCGCGCTAAGGTGCAATAGATGTTTAGGGTCATCCCTGACCTCTAATGATGCGAGCAGTGATGGTGATGGTGCGATTGGCGAGGTTTCTTCCTTAAGCGATGCGATAGCGAGGGGCGAGTGTGTTTCTAGCAGTGCATTAGTGTGCAATAGATGATTAGAGTCATCCCTGACTACTGGTGATTCGATAGCGGTAGGCGCGCGCAATGCGATAGCGATAGGCGCGCGCGATTCGAGCGATGGCGCGTTAGTGTGCAATAGATGATTAGAGTCATCCCTGACTTCTGGCGCAATTGATGGTGATGGTGATGATGCGGATTGTGAAGGAGATGGTGCTGCTGAGGATGATGGTGAAGAGGCGCCTGCGGTGCGCTTCTGGTTGCGCTTAGCAAGCGCGCGCTCGAGTTCGTGATCTAAAGTGGTGCGTTCTGGTATGGCTTTGCATGCTGGTGCAGTTGATGGTTGAGGTGCGCGTGAATCGCGCGAAGGCGCGGGAAAGGCGCGCGTGCGAGGCACGAGAATTGGAACTGGTGGCCTTTTGTTAAGTGCAACTTCCGAGGGTGCGCGATAGAAGAGTCCAGCTGTCGCATTAGCGCTAATGGTCGTATCCTGTGTTGCACGACTCGCTTGATAGCGATCTTGGCACTTAGCCACTGGTGCGCTAACTGGCGTGTTTGGCGCTATAGTGGGCGCGCTAATTGGCGCGCTTACTGGTGCGCTTGGCGCGGGAAAAGCGCGCCCAGATAATAGGAACTGCGCAGCTGCAAAGACGTCCATAAATGGATATGGGTCGTATGGGTGGTGGTCAGGGAACTTGATCATAAGGCGCAAGCGGATTTGCGCCTGAGCATCGCTAGGGATTCCTTCCATGAATAAGCGGTCGCGTTCGGCCTTTCCAATACAGTCTTCGTCCATGAGTGGCTGCATAACCTTCCTGAATGCGCGCAGGTAATTGCTGAGTTCTGTGCAAGAAGGCATTGGTTTGTTAGCGTATTCGCGCGCGATGGCACGCAAGTCCGCAAGCGCGTAGCGTCTTTTACCATCCCATCCAGGATACATTACCTTCACCTCATCTAAAAAGGCGCTGTAATTATCTACTGCCGCTTCTGGCATGCCTCCCCATAGTTCTCGATCATCGCGCGCAAGGTAGCGGATAATACCTTTGATGCGGTCAAGTCCTTGGAGTCCTGCTTCATCAGCGAGCTGCTCATATGTGTCAATGAATTCAGCGAGGTTGTCTGTAGTGCCGTTGAACTTGGGCGCATTTGCGGTGCCGCGGATGGGCATTCTATAAGGCATTGAGGCGTGAAAAGGCGCAGGCGCGCGCGTGAGGCGCAGAGGCGTGGGAACTATTGTGTGCGCGCAAGGCGCGAGAGTGCGTGACTATACAATGGTTAGCTTCTGAAATTGCAAAGAGATTGACCTTATATGTGCGAATTGCGCTAAGTGCAAAGGTGCGCTCGCAAGGCGCACAGGGGTGGGAAAGCACGCGCGCAAGGCGCGAGAATGTGTGACTACAAACTGGTTAGCTTGTGAAAATGCAAAGAGATTGACCTGTATGTGTTAAGATGCGCAAAACTAGATCTTGCTGACTGCTCCCCTCGCGGTGGGCTCCAGTTGTAGAAACAACAATACAATGAGGAACAAGGATGCTCCTAACTGTATCTATAAAATGTTGTGAGGTCGCGCGTTACCTAGTCTGCTATTCTTGAGGAGACAAGTGCGTTCGACCCTAGGGGAAGCGAGTGCTGCGAAGATCTAGAGGTACGCGCTTCAGCGAAGCGTGAGAAAGCGCAAGTGCGCGCAAGGTACGAAGGCGCGGGAACGCGCGCGCGTATTAGCGCGAAGCGCGGGAAAGCGCGCGCGCGTAAGCGGAAATAAAAGAGACTAAGCTTAAGTGATGATATAAAGCAATATAAGAAAAGATAGATGCAAAGTGTAGACCAATAGACTTCTACTATGTACTGCTAAGTAAATAGTGGGTGATAACTAGTAAGTTCAAGGGAAAAGTAAGGTAAGTAATAGTATGTACTGCTGG